AGCGCTCACGCCTTTATTCTGTCCGGGGGCGTTTTGCAGCGTTGTGAATGAGGTACCCCAATAAATCCCCCACTGGCAACACGAGAGCTCCGCCAGACCAGGCCCTCCGCCCCCGGGCTGTCAGGTCGCGCTGTAGGCCCGCCGGTGCCAGGCGGGGTGAACTAGCCCGGCTGTCGGAACGGGCTGCAAGGCTTGCGGCCCGGCTTGGGGCGGGTTGCCGAGGCCGTCCAGCCGAGGCTTGCGAGCGGGGATGGCGGGGCCACGGTCCCCTGCACGAACGAGCCCGGCCCCGCCCCAGAGCGGCAAGACCGCCGAGGCGCGCAAGGCCGACACGTCAGACAGCCCGGCCCATCAGCTCTGACCCAGGGACCCTAAATAACCCCCAACCCAGCGTAACGCGCGTCCCGCCTTCCCCCCGCCGCCGCCGCCGCCGCCCCTTCAACGGTGACAGCGCGCGCCCCCCGCGAGCGGCCTTGACGGTGGCCGCGTGACGCGACGTGTGCGACCCCTCCCCTCCTCTCGCGCTCCTCCGGGCCTCAAGGGGTCCTTCCCGGGCCCCCGCCCCTTCCTCACCCCGGCGCTGCACCGCGGCGAAATCAAATCAAAACTAGCGCCTCGCAAAGCCGATTGGGTAGAGCGGATGGGGGCGTGACGCACAAATCGACCCACCACGGACTAGGGGCGTGGCGGAAAACGAGGATTCGACGGCTGAACCAATAGGAAAGCGCGGGGGGGGGTGTTCCGCTCGCAGAGCCTGGGGGCTCTTCCGCCTCTGCCGAACGCGATACGTTCTTCCTCGGGGTGGGCAGCGGCTCCTGCGTCCGCCCCGCTGCCACGTGTCAGGTTCCGCCGCGCTCAGCGAGCCTGCCCTGGCAGCCCCTGCTCGCCGCGGGACGGTGTCCGGCAGCGGCTGCCCGCTGTGCTGTGCCGCGTTGCGCTAGGGGCTGTGGGCCAGGCGGGGGGAGGGGGAGTTGTCAAGGACAAAGTCAGGAACAGGTTTCAGAGTAGCAGCCCTGTTAGTCTGTATTCGCAAAAAGAAAAGGAGGACTAGTGGCACCTTCGAGACTAACCAATGTATTTGAGTATAAGCTTTCGTGAGCTACATACAGATCACTTCATCGAAACCTGGCACCTGCGTGTGTGAGCCACTTTCAGTCCACCTGTATTAAAAGGGGAGCGGGAACGGAATCCTGTCTGTCCGGAATGCCTTTGCCTCCCAGAGTGACAAGTCACGTTACTGGAGCTGGCATTTAAATGCATCACTTCTGCAGTTGGCTTTGTGCATTTCCTGGCACTTCGTGTATAGAAAAGTTCAGTGTTTCTTTTGTATAGTCAGAGTCCCCGATTCCTGGCGTGTTAGCACTTCATACAGCAGCCCAGGAGAGAAAAATACAATCACATCATTGGCTTAGGAAACAGCCAATCTTAGGAGAAAGGATGGGTGAGGCAGGGGTTTGGAGTTGGGCAGTACCTGAAACTACTTTTATCTCATTTCTAAAAACTAACTTTCAAACTGATGTCCCTTTGAGTTCATATTAGTGAGGGTGGGGGAAATGAGTAGGATCCCTTCTTCCTGTCCTCTACAATTCCAGAAATAATAATCTTTGTGTGTCTAGCTCTATGAAGTAAATTGAAAGAAGTTGGTTTACCAAATCTCATACAATTCCACACCCACACTTTTCTTTTCTAAAGGCATGTTGCCAATTGTACAATGTATGATCCTGATTCAGCAACTGGATCTGTTAATTGGATGCAGGGTTCTTTGTGAGCAGATCCATTTGCAAAATCAAGACAGTAGCTTGCAAAAGTGACTGACTCCCCAAAACCCCTACTCAATTTAAGATGACCAGATGTCCCGATTTTACAATCCAGATATTTGGGGCTTTGTTTTATATAGGCACCTATTATTCCCCTACCCCCTGTTCTGATTTTTCACACTTGCTGTCTGGTCACCCTGACTCAGCTACTACCTATTCCAGCATAGGCTCCAGTCCCAAATGGATCCATTGATACTGTGCCCTACCCAGCTAAAAAGCATGGCCTTTAATAGGTTTTTGTTCATTGGTATCTGCTCAGAGTAAAATGCATTGTACAAAAGAACTGCAGTTTTCCCCCATTTTACCATGCAGACTCCCTTTCCAGTTTAGGCTAAGTCAGTGGTCCCCAATGCGGTGCCGGTGGGCACCATGGTGTCCACCGGGGCATTTTTGTGCCCCCGCAGGACACCGTGCCACCAAAATGCCGCCGAGTGCGGCCGCCAGAGAAATGCCTGCATTTCAGCACTGTGGTGTCCGGTGCCCACCAGAGTCTTCTGCAAATAGCAAAAGATTGGGGACCACTGGCTAAGTGGACCAGTCCCTTTGAATATTCCTTTATTAAAAACAGAGCCAGAATGGTGAGTATTGATTTTTTTTGTCATGCTCTATCACACTCTTATGAAATTTTTCAGTTCCTAAATCTAGATTATGGTAACTGCTTCACAGTACATAACAAGCAAGAACATTTTAAGTGTGTATTAGGACAATTTCTCATATCATTACATACTTGTCAAAAAGCATTAGGAACTGTCTCTTTTGTTTGCAGTGGTAGGTGACATTTTAATTTATTTCCATTACAATGGAGGCAGCGTAACACCCTAGTCTCTTTTCGTAGCTACAGCAGTACAAGAATGGACACTTGTAGGATTTAGTAGGGGTTGCCCTACTCAACCCCACAAAACAGAAAAGTGATTATGAAAGAAAAAGGATGCCTTTCTGGCCTCATCATGTTCCTGGGCCATCCAAACATACAAGTTCTGCATTTAGCTCTTCAAGTAATTGCTCTTTGTAAAAATTTCAACTTTGTATATTCAGTTACAACAGGGGTGAGCAAACTTTTTGGCCTGAGGGCCACATTGGGGTGCAAAACTGTATGGAGGGCCAGTAGGGAAAGCTGCACCTCCCCAAACAGCCTGACCCCAACCCCCTATCCGACCCCTCCCACTTCCCACCTCATGACTGTCCCCCTCAGAACCCCTGACCCATCCAACCCCCTATCCAAACCCCCTCTGCTCCCTGTCCCGACTGCTCTACCCACACCCCCTAACAGCCCCCCTGGGACTCCACCCCCCCCATCCAACTGCCCCCTGCTCCCTGTCTCCTGACTACCACCCAAGACCCCCCAGCCCCTTATCCAACTCCCCCAGGCCCCGGCCCCCTTACCATGCCTCTCAGAGCAGCATGTCTGGCAGCCGCGCCACCTGGCCAGAGCCAGACACGCTGCTGCACTGCCCTGCATCAGTGCACAGCCTGCCGCCCAGAACGCTGCCCACGCAGCAGTGTAGCTGTGGGGGAGGTAGGACCAGCAGGGGAGGGGCCAGGGGCTAGCCTCCCCAGCCCGGAGCTCAGGGGCCAGGCAGAACAGTCCAGCAGGCCGGATGTGGCCTACAAGCTGTAGTTTGCCCACCTCCAAGTTACAATCAAATGACAGTATTTAGTGAATTGGTAGCTGAACACTTAACTACTGTAAATTTCCCTGACTTTGTTTAAAAGATGTAGCAGAACTGTTGCTGTGGAAGTCTAGTATCTTTAGGGGAGGTGCTTTATTTTGCCCAGATGCAAATAAATGAATCTGTATTAATCTGTAAAAAATGCTTGCTCCATGTTCTCGGATGGAGCATGCTATGTATTTTTTTCAGATTTGTAGTCATTTTAGGTGTCACACTAAGTAAACATGTCATACAATTTTAATGTCACTTTAAAAAAAAAAAGTCAGCTATTCACCAAAACAGATAATCCACAGCTAATTAAAACTGGCGTTAGCTGTTACTACATGTTCGTTTTTGATGAAGACAGTATGATTTTGCTGAGATTGTGTGCATCATTGATGGTACTACAGCATGTAACTTGTGTACCACTTTGTGAAAATATTCTTCATTCCTAGTGCAGTCCTTTCAATGCTCACTTATTTCCTTACCATACTACCTTTCTGCTTCCAATTATGTGCCCTGATAGAGCAATACGTAGCACCTACTGCCACCAATGTTACTTGGAGAGTATAACCTAGAAACAGTTTCCTATTTATGGCTTGGAGAAGATGTGGAAGGTTATATAGGAAGAATCACTTGTTTGAGAACTTCTCAGCTTTCTTAGTGATTTATGAGGCCATGTAACACTTTGTTTTCTTAGACAGGATTAATCCCCTTTAATTTGTGATGCATAATGAAGATCTTGGATGAGAGATGAAATATTCTTGTCACTAGCACATAAATTGCCTTTTTAAAATCTTACAGGTTTAAGTGTATTCAGGAGCTCAGCAGGGAGGCTTCAATTTGTGGGGTTTGTTTTGATCTGGTGTTTTAACAAGAATGTAATAAGGAACTAATACTTCTGAAAGACAGCAACGGGCGATAGTCCCTACATTATGCTTATATGCTTCATTCTCATCATCTTGTTTCTCATTTTATAGTCTTTCATCTCTATTTGTGTATGGAAGAAGTGGGGTAGGGGAACAAATCAACCACTATTTCCTGGGGCTGATTTTGAAGTCCATGTTCTCATACCTACTGCAGTATATATTAGGTCAATGATTCTGCGAGCCTGTCATTTAAACTTGGATCTGGATAAGGCAGGTCTCTTTCTTCTGCACATCATCAGATGCTTACTTGTTATATGCTAGCATGAATGACTGGAGAAAGAGGAGACACCCATGAGGTCCAGAAATTTCTCTACCAGTGATAGCATGGAACCTTCCCACCCAGTCATTCTTGCATCACTTAACCTTTTGCATGGACCATTAATATGAGTTAATTTAATAAATTACTATTAAACAAATGTCACCCTGCTGCATAAGTGTTATTGGTCAGTTAGTCAAAGTAGCAGAACTTTATTTCTGCAATCTGATTCCTGTAACAAGATGAATTTCAAATTTTAAGGTATAAAGAAATTCTGCATTGTCCACATTGCCAGTCTTAAGTAAAAGCCTTTGTTTGCAAACTGTTAGCATTCAAAATATTTTCCATCAATTTTGCAGGCACTTTATTTTCTTTCAGAGAGTTCTTCCAATTATGCAATTACATAGGACCTCAGAGTTATGAACATAAGAGTTACAACTAACCAGTCAACCACACACCTCATGGGAACTGGAAGTACACAATCAGACAACAGCAGAGACCAAAAAAAAAAAAGGCAAATAAAGTACAGTACTGTGTTAAATGTAAACTACTAAAAAAGGGAAAGCATAATTTTACTTCTGCATAGTAAAGTTTCAAAGCTGAATTAAGTCAATGTTCAGTTGTAAACTTTTGAAAGTTTTTTTGTTCAGAGTTACGAACAACCTACATTCCCCAGGTGTTCGTAACACGGGGTTCTACTGTAGGACAAACAACTGTGGCATGACTGAAAGGTTGGAGAACTTGAAGAAAAGGTAATAAGTCTGAGTTTGCAACTTCTAAGCTATGACCAGGATTAACACAATTAAAAAAAAAAATCTATGGCATTCTTTCAAGTTCTAGCATTTTAAACTTACTCATGTATTTTAAATAACAAAGTGTAAGTTTTAATACTTGAAATACACCAGGCCCTAGTTTCAATTTGTGAATGAAAACTTTAAGAAGTTAAAAGGAAATTAACATCAAGGTTCTTATGCCTATTAGGGAATAAGTTAGAGAGTTAGGATGTGGAAGGATTAAAACTGTATAAGTGAGGATGTGGCTAGCAAAAGGGACTGGATGTTAAATGTGGATGGACTTATCAAGCAAGAGAATTTAGACACTTCTGGAAGGTGGGCAGGGCATCTCAGCATGTTTGTATATAAGATTAGCTATTTCATTATTTTCAGTCTTCAAAGTATTGAATTCATGAGCTGAGTCATCTGACCTGTAATGAATGAGGAAGCTGGTGATCAATATTGCAGACTGGTGTTTAATAGTCTCCAGCATCGTATGAGGTTGTCTTCATATGCCTAAAACTGAAGAATGTGCTAGGAAATGATTGGAGGGACAGAAGAAAAGAGTCCTTTTAAAGTAAACAAAGTAGCAGTAAGATAATACACACCCATATAAAAGTTCAGAAAATCAGTTTACTTGGTTTCATTCAAAGACACTTTGATCTTGAAGCTAAGTGGAAGAGAACAGAGTATTGAGCGTGATTTCTTTCTGGGTTCAGACAGGAGTGCAGGGCCTTAGAAGCAACCTATGCCCAAAAACCATCATCCATTGCTATTCTGGTCAACGCTACATCCAGGAGAGATTTTCTTCTCTCTTATTCAGCAGGCTGGGGAGATCCAATTGAACAGAAAATCCTCCTCCCTTTTATCCAGGATGGGAAGAAGAGCCAGAAAGGGAATTGAAAACTAGCCTCAGATGGAGCATGCAGTTTCTATATGAGGTGGAAGCAGAGACATTACATCTGAAGCTGAATGTAGCTTCAGCAGTCTCCGTACACTGAAGTAAAGAGCAAGAGAGGGACGACGGCATCTCCCTCTTCTGCTAAAGATGACATCACTGCTTCTAGAAGACAAGACCCAGACCCAAATAAAGAATTCTGACCAAAAACTGTACTAGCTAAGCTGTGGGCACCATAGTTAAGATGGGAGATGTTTCCAAACGTGGCAGTACGCAAGGGAGGCTGAAGCCTACTGCAGCCTGCAGTTCAACTGTTGGCAGCATTTGAAAAGCCGCTTTGGGATGTGGCAAATCAAAGCTAGCAAGCCACCAATAATGGTTAAAGGGGGTAGTAGCAGCAGAGCAGTTTATGGCTCAGGCCTCCCCGAGCTATTTGGGGGGGGGTTTGGGGCAGGGGCAATTCCCAAAGCAGCTGGAGTTTACAGAGCAGAAAGAACTGAAGTTTCCAGTAAGCAAAAGAGCTGCATAGTACTGTCCATTTTACTTTTCTTCCCCCAAGAAGATAGGGGAGCTGATAGGGGATGCAAAATAAACACTGAAAGGATCTTGGAGTTGGTTCCTGGAGAGAAAATTTGCAAGATCCTGCCTTTAAGTCTGGAATGGGAAAAAATACCCCAGATGTCTCCTCAATAGAATAGCCTCTCTGTGGTATTATAGGAGAGGAAGCAGTTCTGGCTTTATTAAACTGTTGTGTCAGTGTTGTCCACCACTAACTCATCCAGACTGGTCTACCTTAATTCAAAATTCAATGTAGCAACAAAAAGGCTCTAGTAGGAAAGAAACTAGATAATTCTTACTACTTTTCCTGTAGATGTGATCCCAATGATTCTCTTGCTAGAAGTTGAAGACAAATACAAAATGCACTGAATACTCCTCGTATCAGCCAAACAGGTACTCCAGAAGTATCCAATAAAAAGTTCAAAGCACAACTTAACAGTTCCAACAAGAATGCAAAGACCATTACTCTTCATGAAGGACTAGATAATGTGATAGGAATTTAAGCTTTATTCAGTGCCTTTTATGCAAGCTCAAATAATTGTCTTTATATCACCATTCCTAATTTTAATTGTGTAATTTCTCATGTGGGTTCTCCAAGGGAATCTGCAACTGAAATCTCTAGGAGAATGTCCATTTAAAAAGTTTCTAGAGAGGTCAGGTCACAGAATAATTTGCCACTTCCTATCTATTCTGTAATCCAGAAATACTTTCTTCAGACTGGTAGTGGGCAGCTCCATTCACACCATACGCAAGGGCAGTAGGCTTCTGTTATCTAACTCTCAGGCTGGTCCAAATAGAGGAAGGATGTTATGATAATAGACAGGGATTCAGAAGATCTGAATTTAATTCCTAACTTTGCACCGACTTACTTTGCAACCTTGGGCAAGTCACTGTGCCAGTTTCCTTTCTGTAAAACAGAGATAATGCTTTCTCCGATCTGATCTATTTAAGTTACTAAATCCCTTTAGGCAGACATTCTCATGCTATGGATATAAGGCACCAAGCAGCCCACTTAAGAGTAGTGCCTAGATGACCCAACTGAAATTCAAATACTATCAAGTGCCTAACAACTAGGCTGCTGGATCAAATTACTTAGATTTGTTACAGTACAAGTATTCAGTTTTCTTATAGTACAAGTCCAAGTCTACCCCCACTGACTTGTTTCTAGCTGCCTTCTTTGAGTTTTAGATTCACATTAATTGTTAATTATCAGGGTGAACTCTGGGATACTAGTTTCTGAATACTGAACTCAGTTTGATTGTTGTTTTTCCATTACTCCTCTCATTCCCTCTACTTTAGCATACCAGAAGTCTGTGTGAAGAAGTTTTGTTGAAAGTCAGAGGAGTAAATCAGTTTTACATTTCAGTCGTCTCTGAAGTCAGAGTAAAATCAGATCTTGTAACAGAGGTAAGGTTTGTCTGAAATTTCTACAAATTACCAGAGCACTAATGGAGTAGAACGCCCAATCTTTTAGTTACGCTAATGATTCAAATATTTACTGAACTATAACACTCATTCCACTACTTCCCTTCAAAAAGATGTAAACAAATTGAAAGTTTAACCTTTTTACCAAGACCTGTGAAGCAGAGCCATCCTTTCCCCTCCCTCAACTCTCCCTATTTACATTAGCAAAATTAGATATGTAGTATCTATGCTCTTATTACCATTGTTGCCAATAAGGTGACAAATGGAGCAGAGATCATCTTGTGGGGAGCGGACTGTTGCAAGAACATGTGTAATAAGCAGTATGTGGTGTTCCTATAGTTTCTTTTAGAAAGAGGGTATGATATTCCAGGGCAGAGTGAAGTACAGTATGACAGCATTAACTTGATAGAATCTTCAGAAATAGTGCTATTTATACGTAATTTCAGTTCGAGAAGTCGTATTAGACAGCTTAAGCGTCTTGTTTGATCACTTACATTTATCTGTTTCTGAACAAGTTCTTTTCTAGGCTCCAATTGCAAAAGAAATGCCTTCATGTTAATCAACTTACTATATAGCTTCCCTGTGCACACACTTTTCATGGTAGAATTTCCTATTGAAATATATCCTGTATTTAATGTCTTATCTACCAACCATCTTTGCATTCAAACAAATAAGTCCTAGATTATGAATGTGGGGGTGGGAAAATGACCAAGTTAAATATGCAATTTTACTCCTAGCTTTCTGAGCAGAAGGAAAACTGAAGATGCTCATTACTCTAGAGCAGGGATGCTCACACTGGGCACTTGATGGTGGGCCAGAGTTCTGTAGCATTTGGTGCTTGTTGTTTCTGGTTATGAAATTTCATTAAGCCACCTAGAACTACACTGCTTATGAAACATTACATGTGACACATAAATAAATGACATTATAACATGATCCATTGTTTTCAGACTTACCTCCCTGTCTCCATTACACTTAATATTCTTATTATAGTTTTAACAGGAGATTCTTAGCAATAAAAATAAGTCCCACTAAGAAGGGAATTAAGCAAAAAAAGTTGGACCATAAACATCCACACAACTGGGTGTATAAGAAGAGAGGGTATTGTCCTTTTCAGATGGAAGGTTTGCTTAACAAATTAGCCAACTAGATTCTATGCTGAGACATAGTGCCCCCCCCATACTACAGTACTGAGATCTGTATTTCACACTAGCTCTAACATCTTTAAGTTGGTGTAGATCTTATACATCCTACTATGAAACTCTCCAGATACTACTGGCTTCCACATCACTTAAAACACTTATATAAACAGACTTCTATATTACTTAGGGTTTGGCTACACTTGCAGATGTACAGCGCTGGGAATTAAACCAGCCTTCGGAGACTACAGGGAAAATGCTGCCATGTGTTACACTGTCAGCTGCAAGCATGCTGGCTGGCATGGCCACATTAGCAGCTTTGCAACGCCACAAAGAGCGGTGCATTGTGGTAGCTATCCCAGTGTGAAAGCGGCTGCAATGTGCTTTTCAAATGGGTGGTGGTGGGGTGAAGCGTGACAGGGAGTGTGTTGTATGTATGTTGGGGGAGAGACTGTGTTTTGGGGGCTGAGAGCATGTCAGCATGCTGTCTTGTAAGTTCAGACAGCAACAGACCCCCCCTAGTCCCCTCACAACAGCAGCATTCCACACTAATGGTTTGCTTTGTCCCGGAGCAGACCAGCATGTAGGCTGTGAGAAATGGAGCTTTGAAAGGGGTATCATAGAATCTCAGGGTTGGAAGGGACCTCAGGAGGTCATCAAGTCCAACCCCCTGCTCAAAGCAGGACCAATCCCCAACTAAATCATCCCAGCCAGGGCTTTGTCAAGCCTGACCTTAAAAACCTCTAAGGAAGGAGATTCCACCACCTGCCTAGGTAACCCATTCCAGTGCTTTACCACCCTCCTAGCGAAAAAGTTTTTCCTGACATCCAACCTAAACCACCCCCACTGCAACTTGAGACCATTGTTCCTTGTTCTGTCATCTGCCACCACTGAGAACAGTCTAGATCCATCCCCTTTGGAATCCCCTTTCAGGTAGTTGAAAGCAGCTATCAAATCCCCCCTCATTCTTCTCTCTGCAGACAAAATAACCCCAGTTCCCTCAGCCTCTCCTCATAAGTCATGTGCTCCAGCTCCCTAATCATTTTTGTTGCCCTCTGCTGGTCTCTTTCCAATTTTTCCACATCCTCCTTGTAGCATGGGGCCCAAAACTGGACACAGTACTCCAGATGAGGCCTCACCAGTGTCAAATAGAGGGGAATGATCACGTCCCTCGATCTGCTGGCAATGCTCCTACTTATACAGCCCAAAATGCCGTTAGCCTTCTTGGCAACAGGGGCACACTGCTGACTCATAGCCAGCTTCTCGTCCACTGTAACCCCTAGGTCCTTTTCTGCAGAACTGCTGCCTAGCCACTCGGTCCCTAGTCTATAGCAGTGCATGCTGCACTTGTCCTTGTTGAACCTTATCATATTTCTTTTGGCCCAATCCTCTAATTTGTCTATATCCGCATTCCTGCGGCCAATTTCAAAACAATGAGAAGAGTGGCCACTTGACTTCAAAGGATTATGGGACGTTTCCGGAGGCCAATCACAGCACAGTAATGCAACATCTCGTTTCAGCCAGGGCGCAGCAAGCTTTATGCTTCTCGTGGAGGTGGATTACCAGGAGTGCTCCAGCTGCAGAGTCCAGGCACTCTGCATGCCTTGCCAGCGTGGACACCTCAGGAGTAAGGGCGCCCAGGGCTGCTTTAATGCGCTCTAACTTGCAAGTGTAGCCAAGTCCTAAGTGTGTGCTACTATATTATCCTAGAAATGGGTGAGCCTTGATACAAATAAAGCTTTTACAAGCCGTCATAGAATATCAGGATTGGAAGGGACCTCAGGAGGTCATCTAGTCCAACCCCCTGCTCAAAGCAGGACCAATCCCCAATTTTTGCCCCAAATCCCTAAACAGTCCCCTCAAGGATTGAACTCACAACCCTGGGTTTAGCAGGCCAATGCTCAAACCACTGAGCTATCCTTCTTTTGACCATCATTTTACTTCTGGTTTGTAGGTTTGCAGGAAACTTTTCAAGCCCGGTATTTATGGAATTAAGCAGGCTATGTTATAAACAACATAGCTGAAATGGTTTGAAAGCCTCCATTTAATACTTTACTGCTAGTTCCACTTTTACATTTCAGCGTTACAACTTGCTTTGCTTTAACAAAATGCACACAAACACAGCATTTTGAACTTGCATCCTCAATCTAGTAGTAATAAGATTATTTTTAAAATTGCATAACCTTTTTTTAATCCTTAGCTTTTGCTTTTGCTGCGACAAAAGAGCTAGAAGCTCAAGTGATTGTATGCAAGGCTGGAAAGGAGGTAAGTCTCAACTTTAGAGAATTAAATGAAAAAGCTCTTACAGTTTTAACTTGTTAATGATCTTAAAATCTAATAGCAAGTTAGCTTCAATTTGAAGTTTAGTGCCTCAGTGTGTTTTTCAAACGTTGATGTGTTTTAGAACTTATCACTGGTATCTTTAACCTGTTTCAGCTTACATTAAAATGTTCAAGTTTCTGTAAGATGTTTAGAGCAGTAAGGCACAAATTCTAACATTTCATCCTTTTAAAAACTTTTAGATTTTTATTCCATATAAGACTGTAAACTTAATAGAGAATTCACACTTGTCAGAATATTTACCTGAAGAGGAAAGCCCATGTAAAGAAATTGAAAAGGCAGTTTTATGAACTGGAACGAAGACTGACACAAAGGGCAGCTGGATTAATAATGCCACAAACTTTTTGACTAAAACTTTCTATTGGTAACCCACAAGTCACCAATTAAAACTCTTCAAAACGTAGTCTTGAGAGTGTCATTTTGTGTTATTCACTGTGCTTGAAAAGTTTTAAGCTAGCAACTAGTGCTCCATTCAGAAGACTTCATACATTATGCATGCAAAGTCTGAAATATACTAAACAGATTTTCTTAAAAGTAACTCTTTTCCCACTAGTGGTTTACCTTGTTCTGTCATATGCAAAAATGGAACATGCATTTGGAATGTAGGACAAATCTTCCGGTTACAGTGTATAGAAGTCAAGCTACTTTTTGGGCTGTTGCACAAACAGTTGAGGCATTTCCCCAGTAGCGGTATATGGACGGAGAAACGTAGCACCTGTTATGCTACAGCTATACTTGTCATATTTAGATCTGTTCAGAAGAGAGCTCCCATCGTGGGGGTGGTCTAGAAATGTGAATGTATGACAATGTTAATACATGTTTGTATACATCTCCATCCACATTCATTTTAAGGGATACTGAAATACTTTAGCTCTCAAATATGATCCACAGCAAGTTTTCTGCAGTTATTAAAACAGAAAGTCATCTGCATTAGTCTTGTACTACAGTTCCCATCAAGCTGTGGTTAGGACTGCTGTAGCAAGCTAGAAGACTATTTTCAAATACATTTCATTTCAGTCTGTTCACTGTGAAAAGTGCTTTTATAAAAAAGACTGGCTTAAGGCAGCAATCTTTTAACACTACTTTTGGATGGGTGGCAAAACACAACAGACTTTGCTCTGGTTCATTCCGTCTAAGAAAAACACTAATTCCATTGTGATTGAGACTGAGTAGTACTAACTTTTTTTTAAAAAAATGCTCTTCCAAGATTTCAGGTATGCAGAGCTATAAGTTTACTTCAGAATAAAACACAGCGTCAGGGGAGAATCAAAACTTTTGAGTTGCACTTGACTGTATCTTTTGGACAGAGCAGAATTACACTGTATATAACAGACAGTAAAAGTTCTTAAAAGTTGATAATTACAAATATCATTTTACTTTCTACCTGTACGATCGTCAACATACAGTTTACTATATCAAGATCTCTAAAGGCTTAAAACAAAAAACAATCCCTCTAAACTACTTTTAAACAGTAAAATTTAAGTAAAATGCTTACATTCATTTGACGACAAAAAAATATTAAAAATGCTGTGTGGGTGGTGCAAGGGCTGCTTTTTCAGCTGGAATTTTTCTTCACATTACTCCTGTAGAAATAAAGAAAATAAGGATGAGTTGCCCCCATTTGTCCATTACCGCAGATGCATGAAAATAATTTTTAAATGAAAACTATTTTGTCAATTTTATCACTTAGGGTATGGTGAGGAAGGAAATCTGTTCTTCAATTCACCGACAAGCCAGAGTTTTCTACCTTTTCTTCTTTGCGTCTGTCCTTTTCTTCATTATTTTCCATTGTTTCTTCTTCATCTTCCACAAGCCCATCCCCTTGGTATTTGTCATGTGTCCACTTTGGACTGCTACCTGATTTTTTGAAGTTAAACCGCCCTCTGCCACGCTGGAAAGTGCCACGGCCTCTTCCTCTTTTGGCCCAATAATCCACACCATCATCTCTGTCATCATGCTATGGTAACATAGGTCAAACAGAACAAGGATGAGTTAAATGAACAACGTTCTTAGACATTTGTAATGCACCTATTACCATAACATGTAGGCACCTTAAATTCAATGCACTATCAAGTGTGTTTTATATAGAATCTGTACAAGAGGTTTTCCAGGGAATATTCTAGTAGTTTACACCCACAGTTTAACCTATATTTTATAATTGATAAGGTTTGTCCTCATACTGTAAACAAACATTTGAAATACAGTATTAGAAATGACAAAGTCTTCATTTATTTGTGAAGAATCATATCTAAGAGGTCTTGACCTATGTGGGACGACTCAAAACCTCCACTTAAAAGATGAGCAATAAACCAGTTATTTAATGAAATTTACCAGCTTTAACCATGCCACTCTATTTTCACAATCTTCTGCGACGGTTGGAAGTACTGCCTTTCACATGCTACCTGATAGATCCTGCTGCTGGTGGCAGTATGCAAAAGAGAGAGGGGTGGCTCAATAGCTTCCACACAAATGAAAAGCAGAAGCTGACTACTAATTAATAGGCAAATTCCTCTAGCCTCTCTCTTACTACAAACTTTTAGTTTTACTAATTTTATTTTAATATCACAAAAATCGTATTTCATATTCTAGAAAGGCCGAAGTGGTTTCTTTTAAGCAAAAGTGATAACATATGTAGCACTCTGAGAACCTACCTCATTGTATAGTAATATCACATTGTGATGTGATTTTAATAATGCAGTTTTCCCCCATTCAGTATTTGTAACATTATTTGAAAAAGTGCTTAACCCTCGGAATTTAGTGCTACTACTGAGGATGACAAGACATCTTCCATTAGTGCTTGACTAGAAAATAAGGCTTACAGGTAAATCCAAATTGTATAAGTCTTCTGAACCTTAATAAAAAATTAATGTTTTGTAATCAAGTTTTGGATAGGAGACCACGTTCAAATTTCAAAAACAGATTTGGATTTTTTGGGAGGTGGGGAAATTCAGGTTTACTTGTATGAGATAAGAGCAGAGGCCCTAGGTTTCATATATAAAAACTGTTAATCCCTTCTATGAGGAAGAAACAAAGCTAAAGTATTCTAAGGGACCCCAAAAGAGTGCAGTGAAGAAACAACACCAAAGTTCCTCTTGCCTAAGCCCATTAAAATTCCTTCCAGAATTATTGGTGGAGATATTCCCGTATAAAACTTTTTATTACTCTATAGTAATTTACTGACTAAAGTTCAGCTATCACTATACAAATGTAGAAAGTTTATCAGAAATGGACTTGTAATTTTTACCATTTAATATTATAGTATTAGTATTTTATTATCATTTGAAAATCCACTTAATAAAGAGAGATTAAGCAGCACAAGCAGAAGAGAGGCTGCATATTCAACAAGTTAAGTAAGAAATATCTTGGTCAATGATCTTAACTACCCTTCTTTTGATACCAGTATGGGAAAGTAATATTTAACAGATGTCAGAGTATTTTAATGCATCTCACTACAATCCATGTGTGCCGCGCCGCCTCCCCCACCCCCCTGCCATATTGTATGCTGCCATCTACTCATGCCACACCACTTTTGCAGGACTCTCAGGCACAGCTGAGGCACCAAGCATCAGTGTCTGCTTTAAATCCACTGGGGGGGAAAAACACTCGAGTTGGTTTGGGAGGTCTGTGTGTGTTTGCTTTAACATTTTAGGCTGTGCGTGGCAGGTTGTCACTCTTCCTCATTTGCCACCCTAAATATGGGAAAAAAGCAGGCATGGTGGGGGATGTCCTCTCTGAAGTGACCTGCTACTGTTGCCCACCATTCTGCTGCAGAGGGATAGAAGGGAAGCAGGTACTGGGCCAACTAGGACCCTGATGCTCTCACAGTAATAATATGCTAAAGCCATTGACAGCCACCAGCACAGAAGCAGCATGCACATAGACACCGCCTCTTTAACATCAGTTATAAAATATGCTTTGATAAAAGATGCATGCATTATATATAAGTATTCCATCACCCACCAAGAAGTATTTCTTGCTTTTTGGGGTATATTCAGGATCCCACTCCTCTTCCTTCGGTCTCTTTTGAAAAGTAGCATTTGAGTTGCTGGGACCAATATTTGTTCCAGCAAAAACTCCTCTGGCTCTTCCTCTGCCCCTAATTCGAAACTGATTAACCAAAATGTTTATGTATTTAATCAATACGCATATAGTCACAAAGCAAATATTCAAGTTCAACTGTATTAACCAAAATGTTATTTCTGTATTCTTTCCTTAATACATAAACATAAAACAGCAGTTTAAGAATTCACATGTAAATACTTTAAGACTAATGTACTTAGTGTTCACTTTGAGCTAACAATCCTCTCTATTCAGCTGAAGTGCATTCAAATATGTTTAGGGGATTTTTAGTATGTTTACCCATAATGTGAAATTGAGGGAACTGATTGACCAAAAAGAGGGGAGGAGTGCAGAAAAGAACATGAGACATGGACAATTTAATACTAATTATCTCTGAATAGAATTAGACTAAACAGACCAGGTGAGGATTCACAAGACTTATCAAGACACTGAAAGCAACAAACTAAAAAGGAGACTTCTGAAAATGATAATTTGGAAAGTGTTGAATATATAATATTAAAGATGACTGAACAGAAACAGAAGTGGGGGTTTTTAGAAAGGTAATCTGGAATATATATATATATAATTTTAGAGTAAATGCATAAATTTAGGAAATACTTTGGCCTCTGATATCCTCTGATTCCTCTTCATTGAAAAATTACAGTATGACAGGGGACACTGTCACTGTGAAGGAGAAAATAGCATTTGGGAAACAGAATGTTGCTAAGATCAAAGCCCAAGTCAGCTAATTCCAGAGGCTGATATTCCATCAATCATATGAGTTGGGCTATGGTGGCTATTTTAGTAATCCTACATTACAAGGCAGTCTAGGTAATATAGCCCAAAATCATGCTACTGTTGTGGGCCTACCTGTTTCAGGGCATGACAGAAAAAGAGGGGGAGACTTTTAGCATAAAGACAGCTCCCTTTTTAGTCTGGGAAGAGCTCGTATGAAGAACCTTTAAGGGACTGTAAAAGTAAGATCAGAAAATGTGGCTGCAGGCTATTCACTCTGACAGACGAGCAGATATGAATGCTTTCATTATGTTTATGGGTTTACATTATATAAAATGTGTGTCTCTCTCTCATTTTGTAAATATATACTGCAACCTGCTAGTGGAAATCTCAGTCATGGTTTTTGGTGCATAGGCATCTTTGAGTTTGCACCTAAGCAAATCTACTCCTTTATGGCCAGCCAGCCAGCCAGGCTATACCATAATAGCCCTGAACACAAAAGGGAAGATTTGGTTGCAAATTAAAAAGTTTTTTTTATCCAAAATAAAAACCATGACCTGGAATAGCCTTCTAAACTAGAGGACAAAGACATTTCACTTTACCTGTACTGGTAAAAAATGATACAATCTAGTTTATGATTGTAGACAGAAGGTGCAAGCTAATCTGTCAGGCCTGTCTAGATATCTCTTGTCACAATAGTCTTGGGTTGGTCAATAAGCCTATATATAAATACTACTGTCTAAAAGGGTAAATCAGTAAGGAGTGCCATTATTTCTCATTTAAAGCATCCTGCAAGTTGTTACTATACAATCATCAGAAATCAGGCATGTCAGAGACCCATTCAATTACCAGCACATCTCCCTACCTAAATTACATATGCTGCAATGTTTCTTCCAGTACATTTGTCCAATTTAGTTTTAAGATAAGCAAGCCCTGAAGCATCTACAAGTTTTATTAGGAAACTCTTCCTGTTAGTAAGATATTAGACTGTGGAAGAGTTTACTGATTTTCAGCCCTAATTTTCCCTTTCAATTTTATCCCATTATTCCTAGCTATATACCTATGTATCATGCTGAACTCCTCTTTGCCCTTGGAGATTACACCATCCACGTAATTGTTGACTTATGTCCCTTTTAGTCATTTTGTAGCAGAACTATACATATTTAATTTTTTTAATCTTTCCTTATAAAATCAACCCTGTGAATATTTTTGTTGTTCTCTTTTGAACCAGGAGGTGCCTAGAACTGAATAGTGTTGCATGTGCAGCACACCACAGTTGTATAGAGAAGGCATATTAGCAACCCACTTTGATGCCATTTTATATGCAGCTGAAAGTTGCACTGGCCATTTTTGTAGTCATATAACATTGCTTGTTTATGTCTAATCTATTGTCTCTTTCAGCATAACTGATTCAGTCTCACAGGTTACATGAAGGAGTCATCAGGATAGTTTAGTTACTCCCTCCCAAAGAATCTGTATGTTTGGAATTTTTCAAGACGTAGCTTGCAATGTTCAAAGCTATAGCTCCTAACATTTACTTCCTGCCTATGTTCCTAATCTCTAGAGGTCTTTTTTACTGTTTCTTGGTCCTCACTGGTGTTTGCACATTTTCCAGTTTAGGATCAATGAACTACATTAACATGCTGTTTACATCATTTTATTGAGTTGTGAATTTTAAAACCACTGTCTGTGGACTTTGGTCAACACACTTACAAATCACAATGCTAACCACCTTCCAGCCTTCAACCAGTTAGCTTTGCTGCTGCCTGTAGTCCAGTCCAGGACATTCAGAGAAACACTAACAAACAAAAGCAAGCAGCCCTGCTTTCCCCAGCACAGCTGCTTCAAGGCTCCGTCAGGGGTATAAATTCAGCCATGCACGAGTTTGTGAACAACAACAAAATGGAAGGGGTAGCAAACACAGATGGGCAGAACCAAACTGCAAAGTGACCTGGAAAAACTGGAAGCACTGGGGATTACAGGCAACAAATAGCAAAATATAGTCTTAATAAATTGATATTAGTACATTTAAAATCCTGCCCCAAGTAAAAGAAACCAACTGCACAGATACAAAGTAGCAAGAAATAACTAAGCAGCCACACCCCTAGCATTAACAAGGATTTGGGGTTTTTTCTTGTCTCTGCTACTGTCCTGATAAGACTCTTCTCTGTAATCCATTGCTATTGTTGCTGTGAGGGAAGTCTTGGAAGGAGAGTTGTCTAGAAAAAAGGTTTCTCACTTCTGCTGCGGTCCATAATATGAAAGTGTTTGAAACTTGTTATTCTGAATAATTAACCAAAAGAAGTACTACCCTATTAGACACGTCAGCTTGTTAAACTATTGTTAGTTACCTTTTTTCATTTTTAGCTGGTTTGAGTAAACACATTTAGATCCAAGCAATTCTGAACAGCACACAATAGTTTGCATGCTTCAACATGATACTTCTAAAATAAAACACTGCACATCTTAATATTTTGAAAATGGATCCTAGAGTCATGCAAATTACCTAACACTGCTTTAAGGTAACAATAGTTTTGGAGGGAGCAGAGAAAGACTTACAAAGGTGCCTCTCGGCCTGCTGACTCCTGTAAAACCTGAATATTCTTTCTGCTCATGGTGGGTTTTGAACTCTTCATCTCTTTCTTTCTTGCCATCTTTTTCTTCTCGTGAACTGGATGAGGCGGAAGACGGGGATGAAGATGAGGAAGATCGAGAACGGTCTTGCTCTCTTTTTTGTTTACTGAAAAATAAAAAACATACTTTGTGCTGTTTTAAAAATAGATACCCTGTAGCATGCTACACTAAAGGAGGTCTCTGTTTATGTAAAAGCTACTTCCCCCTCAGGTTATAAATAATCCATAAAATATGTACTTCAGATTTTAAGGTGGAGTATCATTTCACTTTTCATCCTCCTTCCATATCTTTAAAATATATTGTGCAAATACTATTGCTAATTAGTTGGAAACCAGTAGACTGCAAAATTACTTCTCTGGTTTTTGATTCAACGAAGAGTGGCCTATTTAACTGCCATTTTGGGGGTAGCAAAAGTGAAAGAAGAAGGGAGGAAAACCCTTAGAGCAAAAGTTATAAATTTTAAGTTAATTGAGTTTCCACATATTGTTGAAAATAGCAGATATATTTTGGGCATCCCTATGTGGATACCAGTACAAAACTAGCCAGTGGATGACAGTGTGGATACCAGAGGCAGAAAGTAAATGGGAAAAATGAAGCACAAGTAAAATCCATCATATACCCAGTGTAAAGCAAGACAGAAAAAAAAAAAACCTAATGCAAGACTCTGTATTCAGTAACCCCATATTGGCAGTGTTTTGACACAATTTACAAGATTTTAATACAACACCCAATAGGTCATACCTGAAATATCTCTTACCACAGCTATAAAGTATCCACTGAAACATAACTATTAAAAACTAACATTGTTCCTTAAAAACAGCCCACTGGCTTTAGAAAAATAAATACGTCTCCCTTCTCGCCCATGTTAAACCTAGATATCAGTAATTCTCCTCATACTCTGGGTGTTATGAGTTGAAAAAGTGCGGAATCAAGCATAACGAACCAAAGTTCTTACACAAACTGTTTACAGAAATGTACTGCATTGAAGTCCAACCTCCTGATGTAGCCTGGATAATAGGACAGATTAATTTGTCATTTTTTTTTCAGTGTTAGCTTGCTATTCCAAAGTTTTTGTCCTCATCCACCATAAGCCGTGTAAAAGACAGATAATACATTTTTGCTGTAAAACAAATAATTTTAATTGTTTAAATTTAAATGTTCCATTACACAGTGAAAATTGAAAGCAATTAAGCTTACAATTACAAAAGGCTAATTAGAAACTAAAAAACCTACTTAGAAAGTTCAAGTATTTACCTGTCATCTTTGTAAGGTTTGTAATCCTTGTAATCTTTTGGAGTTTTCTCCTGCTTTCTTGATCCACTGCTTTCCCTGGAACCTTTAGAGTCCCCTCGTTCTTTACTTCGCTCTTTTCTACGACGGTCAATGTCGTGCCGAAGATCAGCAGAATCGCATCTTAATTTTTTATCTCCCTGTGAAAGGAACAGATTTCAGGAACAGCATTTTAAAATGGAAAAATCCAGAAGAGTTAGAAGTTGGTCTCCCATTTACTCTATCTCCAAATTTCTAAAGAAATAATAGTTTGCCTAGTTTCAACATTCTTCAGAACATTTAGTTGATTTTTAATGACAGAAAGTTGTTTGATCTTTATGTCTATGCCTGATGATTTTTTAAAACTATCTAGGAATTTAGCTTCTGAGAAGATGTTCCACCAAATCACCAGGGAGATCTATTTTTACAAGCGAACTGTCAGGTTTGTGTGGGTAGATTAATATTTAGTACAACTTATTCTGAAGAACTATGTTATTAGGACAGCATAAACTGCATCTGATTAATTCAGCTACAACATCTGCAAATGAGCTGTTTTCTTGATTTCTAGTCCTTGGATCGGCTAAGTGCTACAAAATCAGGAAAACTGGAAGGAATCTAACATATTTTGTCCAAGGCCAGAGATGAGAAATAGTCTAGTTCCAAGTACTCTTTGGGCTATAAATACAAATCAAAAGAAAAATACTCCACCTTGAAGTTTAGACTCAAAACGAAATACACATTATTTTACTAAATCTAGAATATCAATTTAATATTAACTCAGAACCTACTTTTTGACTTTCTTCTTTAAAGACTCTCTCTTCACCTGCTAAACGGGTATGCTTCCTCAGGGCAGTTGGAGAGATGTCAATCCTCCTAAATGTAAAATAAAAAAAGTGTCTAGCCATAGATTCAGGGGATCATTTATGGCTTCCTGTGTTTCTTTTGGACGTTTGAGAAAACGAAGAAATCAAGAACTACTCTATTTTTCAGTAGCATGATCTTTTTATTTACAGTATTAGTTCCCTATAATCCCTTTAAATCTATTCAGATAATTAAAAATCTGGTTTTGCCCAATAACATATGCAATTATGACATTTTGCTTTTCCCTTATTTTTAAAGATGTAAAAGCCTTAATGGGTTATGTATTTCAAGAGCTCTGTAAAAGTGATCAACTCGTTAAAACTACCTTACGCTAAACAGCAGTTAATAACATCCTTTTAAAAGTAGAAAATAAAAAAATAGTTCAAAAGTATTTCTTTGATGCAGAATACTGACTATAGAGACAGTATATTTAACCTCAGACATGTAACATATACTCAAAATAAGGTATGCAGCCTTTTATAACTAATTCCAATGGTTAGCAATCATATACATATGCCGTACCTTTGCTTACCTTTCAGGCACTAATGCAGCTCAGATTTTTATTTTCAAACTGCTGTAAATTATTAATGCAGTTCAAATGTTAATGATGAAGTCATAATATGAACTAGCTCACATATGAGAATAATAAGCACGCAAGTGGTGTTTTTCCATCTTCAAACTACTTAAGCCTCAATGCTCAATACTGCATGGGAGGCAGGTAAGTATAGCCCAAAAGAGATACTGAGGCGGACAAAAAGACTTGCCACAAAGCCACATATACAGCTGGAGTTGGGATTAGAATCCAGAGTTCCAGGCTCCTAGTCCTGTGCTCAGACCAGTTCATGCCTCTCTCAGGTGAAGAATTCAGAGGTAATTAGAAAAGCATGTAGGGGTTCTTATAAGAAATATAATTTGTTATTTCACTGACATAAGCAGCATCTAGTAATGCAACTGGCATATACCTGTGTATTTCTGGGCTCTTTTGCCGGGTGCAATGTTCTTCAGTAGCTTTTTGATATGCAGTGAACCTCTCATTTAGGGTCATTCCAGCTGACTTGAAGTATTGTTCTGTTGGTTACAGAGGAAAAATTCTCTCTAGTTAGTTAAATTTCACCTACATAAGTATTTCCATTCGTGACAGAAAGGTACATAGCAGGCAAAAAAAAAAAAATTTTATCAGAAGAGGCAAATCCGTTAGAGGATTTTTCCCACTCTTACCCTTCTTGTAGCCTCAACGAGCAGATAATAGCAGCGCACAACACCACTGCAAGCTTCCTCACAGGTATGCCCTGCTAGTACTAGAACTAATTCAAGTACCACAAACTCATTAGAGTCAGACTCTTCCCTTTTCACTGACACATTTTCCTCTGACGGAGGAAAAGGAGCAGCTGTTTAGGTTTCCTTCTTTACACTTTGCCCAGAGGAGCAGATGAAGTTATTTTGAGTCAGTATTTGCAGGGAACAAAGAATTTCCAAATAAATTTAAATTTTTAACTGAACACAATTAGTTTTGACAGAACATTTAAACAATTTATGCATCAAGAATTACATGTAGACTTATTAAACGTAAGGTATTTCTTAAAAGAATGCAACTTTTCCTTTAGAAACAGAGATGATAAAATTATCGAAGTCAATTAACAGCCCTACAGCTGAATATATTCATTTAAGCATCTGGCATCTTGGCAAACCTGACAGCTTTTCTAACAAACAAATTTTCTTTTGGCTTTTGAGACAGTTAAAATTCGTAATAGCAACACTGAATTTTTAAAGACCAGCTCAACAAATATGTTTAAATATAAAATAGAAAGACATATAAAGTCATCAACTATGAAATGTTATATACGAAGCAAGCTATCTGCTTAACAGGTCAACATACATCTGTATCAACTTACCGCCCAACATCCAGCACATGTCTCATAACCAATCATTAAAACTTGAAACGGCCACTACAAGGGTAGTGCCTCAATCATAATTCCATCAAACCCAGGAATTTGAGCTAGCAACTCATTTTTTATGCCATTTTTGCCAGGAAGACAGAAGGTTCAACTTTGCCTGTTTTTGCATCTGTATCTTTCAACAGCTATTTTACTTTTGTAACATGGATTTTGCCATTTCAAAACACATTCCAGGACCTAGTTACAATGAAAAAGAAAACATCACTGGGCATTTTCAGCTCTATATTAATAAAGAGCTGTTCAGACCAGTTGCATCACACCAATAATGAATCAAAACTTCAGTTCTTTAAAAAAAAGAAAAGTTACTAAAATCTGATCACAAAAAAGTAATTTTGAAGTGTGCAGAAAGGCTACAAGTTTTAGAAACAAAATATGGTATACACACATCAAATAACTTGGCCACAGACTGGTTGATAAACAGTTACATTTCCCAGCCAGATGTTAAACTCCACCTATCACATTTACAGAGACAGTTTAAGTCATCTATTCATTCATCAACATGCAAGAGATTTAGAAACAATGCCCCCTTCAGGCCCCAGTCCTGCACCATGTAGGTCAATGGGAGCTTTGCCACTGACTTCAATGTAGGATCAAGCTCTAAATCCCTGACATATCAAAAAGAGAACAGATACTTTGGTTTCAAATGTCAATATGTAGTCAGCTAGTAATTAGCAAAGGATTATTTTATTAAACAACCTTTGTAACTGCTCTACAAATCCTCTTTGCAAAAATACTTAGTTTGCAACCAACTCAAATTTCAGAAAAGTACTAAGCCTTGGCCCCTCTAGCTATTTATTATGTAGCACTTTTTTGGATGTTCAGCACACCAATTTAGCACATCTAAAGTATCTTAATAATGAATGCATAACTACGGTTAAATTAAAATTGGTCATCTGATCAGGTGGCTCTTAGTCTAGGAAATTTAAGAAACTCAATTCCCTCTTCTGTTGTGAAACACCAACAATTTTCATCATCAAGGTCTATTGTCTTTATTAGTTCATTAAGCAAGATGACGAAGACGACATATGTTTGGCAACAAATAAGAAGTGCTTTGCTAACAAAAAAAGTTGGTGCTCATTTCAGAAACTCTGTAAATGTCCTCACACGTCAGACAAAAGGACTGTACTCCTTCAGACAATACTGAGTCTCTGACTAATAAGCCTGCAGAGTATTTTATGCTTAATCGTGACATAGGAAATCATCCCTCTTTACTGGGATGCTTCCCAATGAACTGATTTAGCCTAATGATAATGAATGGTAATAACTGTTGCTCAATCAGAAAAGAATCAGTAAATAATTCATTTAAGAGGGATGAATTTGGACAGTGCCAAGTGGCCAAGTATGAAATTTTATGCTCCGGTGTCACATAAACTGCCAAATAAAGAAAGAAAACAAGATGAAATGTCATTACTTTTATTTTTGTATATTTATTGCACTTAGTTTTTATTCTTTTCATTCTTTAAAAAAATATGTTCTGAAGAGTGATACTGGGATGTCCCAGTCAAAGGATTCTATGGAATTTTCACATTATATAGAGTAATTTGCCAACAGAAATCACAATCACTAAACATGAGAATTAGCAACCTCAAAGAAATCTAAACATTCGCCAATATACAGTTTATTAAATACAGAACATTTAAACTTGAGTGCAAAAATTCACAAATTGTCCACAGCTTATTTCACTGTATAATACAGTTTATCAAAAATATACAACATTGGTATTACTGCTATAGTTTTCTGGGACTAGCTGTGCAGTCTTTTTGGGGGTTATTTTAAGATGAGCTCTTCTCAAAAGGCAAAAAAAAATGTGAATAAATCAGTATGAAGAAACGGAGAATTGAGTTGTCTCTTTACTAGTGACATTAAGCAGGTTTATCTGTAATTGACCATTTTTCTAAATGCTGATACTGGTATTCGCTGTGGTAAACTGAGTACATACCTTTGACATGATGAACCAAAGACACAATGTGCTGAATAAATGACTCTGACGTGCTTTTGCTGGCCTGTGGCAACTTAATGTGGTCAAAGATGGATCGGAACTCTTGCTCCTTCTTGACAGAATGGACAAGCGTACTAGCAAGCAGCCTGTCTTTAGTCAAGGAAGCTGGTCTAAAATGCATCAACAAGAAAAAGAGAGACAAAAGAAACCAGTGGTTTAAATAATGTCTCGGTAAACTCTGTACGTGGGTGAGGAACTCTGGTAAACTCTGTACTGTGAATTGGGATAATTTACCTATTGGAATCATCAAGAGGTACCGGTGCCATTTTGAGCTTAACTTCAGGACGATGGGAGTCACTGGCTATCATTTTGATCCTAAGTGGGCTCTCCTCTCGGAAGGTGGATTTTTCTCTCGCATCCAGATTCTTGTGTAGAGGGGGACTGTAATCAAAGAGTTCTTTGAGCTTTTCAGACTTTACCTGCTCAGGTGACTGAGTTTCTTTCTTCACCATTATTCTCTCAGAACTTTTGTCGTCTTCCTTGTGCTTATCTTTTGTTGCACTAGGCCTTTCCACTACATAGCCAGTCTCTTTAAGTTTATAACTCTTGTCTTCTCTAAATCCATCACTCTCTCTATTGCCCTTCATTGAAATTTTAGATTTGTATTTGGTTCCTTCCTCCTCAGCATTCCGGTGAGATGCAGTAGCAAAATTTTTACCCTGATCTGCGAGGACAGATTTTCTGAACTGTCCATAATCCTCTGTCTCCTCTGTCTCCTCCCCTTCAGAGTCACTAAACTTTTGCTTCCCAGCATCCTTACCAATGAAATAATCTAAAGCTTCCTGATCCTCCCATTCCCTTTCTCCCTCTGTCCTCCCTTTTTCTGATCCTCTCTCCTTCTGGGCCTCTTTCTCCCTGGTATTACCCCTATCAAGCAGGTATACTCTAGACTCTTCATCTGTGTACCTGTGGATAGCAAAGAAGAGGATGGTAACTCTGGATTGCATTCATTCCAGTTCATTTGCATTTCACTTCTGAGTCACCTCAGTATCACAAAATCACCAACATAAAAACAAATTCCACTGAGTAGTTCAACTGTTCAGCATATACTTTTTTGCACAGCATTATTATTACATCCAGAGCCACTTATGTGCTATCCTTTGAAAAAAAATATATATGAAAATCCATTTCTATATAAATTCCTAGAAATTGACAACTGGAATTTTTAAAACTAGTGGTTTGGGGCATTTTAATTTGGTGCCCAGCTTCGAACACTTTTATGCCTGTCGTTTTGTCTGTAGGAGAATCATAGAAAGTTTAGTATTTCAGTTTGCATTTTACTCTTGAATCCTGACATTTCAGGGACAATTCTTACAACAAAAGTAAAAGGGTACCATTAAAAAAACAAAAATGAAAAACCATTTTCAAAATCTTGCTGTGCTTGTAACAGAAATCCACAACTCTATATTGGCATAAGTCATTAGTCACGGTAAGGCCTTGTCTACAGTACAAAGTTTTGTTGGCAAAAGCGGTCTTTTGCCGACAAAACAGGGGAGGCGTACACACTACAAAGCTACTTTTGGCGGCAAAATAAAACCATCTCAACAAGGGGCATAATACTTTTTGTAGCAAAGTTAAAGCAACAAAGGGACAGTGTAGACACTGCAGTTTGTTTTGTCAACATAACTAGCTTCCACCAGTATCCCACAAAGCCTGTCATGAGCGCTCTGCTCCCTGTTTTGACTTCTGCTGTTCTGCAGGCATGCGCCCCTCCCCTTTCAAAGCTCCAGGAAGTATCTGACACCTGGGTGTACTGCTCTGTTTGGGGAACAAAGAGCAAATCATTAACATGGAATGCTCCTGTTTTGCCCTGCACTAGGAACACAGGGGCAGGCAGACTGCTGCTGCAGGAGGGGTGGGGGAGAAGAATTGCTGTGCTGCTTTGACATTCCTCGGAGAGCTGCTTAGGAGGCTGCAGAACTCTTAGAAGGAATCACAGAACTGTAAGCAGGCAGAGCGGGCTGCTTCAGGAGAGACTGCTGTGCCAAGCAGAGATGGGAGGCTGTTCCCCTCCCCCTGCCTCAGGATAGGCTGTCAGCCTGCTGTCTCTCCAGCCCCAGACACACCACTCTCCTCTCCCTCCCTTCCCACCCACCCCCACTCTTCAGTTGAAAAAGCGGTGGACAATCTATTAGGATGCCCCTGGAATGATAGGATTTAGAAACCTGCATCATGTGACACTGTACCTGCCCCATGAGGAATTGAAAACCCTTCCCAAAGCACCTTGCAGCCAGTTGCACAGTGGGATAGCAACCACAGTGCACTGCTCTCTGTGTCGATGCAAGAGCTGTTAGTGTGGATGCACTCTGCCGACACAAGGAGCTAGTGTGGACATGCAACAGTGGTTTAATTAAAGCGGCATAACTTTTGCCAACAAAACTTTGTAGTGCAGAGAAGGCTTAAGACTTCAGGAATACTGTGAACAACTATGTAAACTGGCTTTTCAATCCTTGGTCTATGCTGGGAATTTACACTACCATAGCTACATCTCTCAGGGGTGTGAAAAATCCACAACCCAAGAGACGTAGCTAGGTTGACCTAACCCCTGATGTTGACAGTGCAAGGTCAACAAAATAATTCTTCCATCCACCTACCTACTACCTCCCGGGGAGATGGATTACCTACACTGAGAGGAGAACCCCTCCTGGCAGCATAAGTAGTGACCACACTGAAAATGCTACAATGGTACAACTGCAGTGCTGCTGTTGTAGCATCTTCAGTGTAGATATAGCCTCAGGGAGGTGGATTATCTTCGCTAATGGGAGAACCCCTCCCTTTGGCATAAATAGAGTGTCTACAGTGCAGCACTGCAGCTGTGCCACTGTAGCAGTTTAAGTGTAGACCTAGCCTAACTCCTTTAACATTGCTGAATGCATTTAAAAATTAATGTTTATTTCATTCAGCTCGCACTATCTCAATACAGTATTTTCATGCTAGTAGTTTCCAATATACTCACTGGCAGCAATGTATTTACTTATGGGAAAATCTGAATCCTGGTGCCTTTATAAGTACATTTATGAATAACAATTTAATTTCAGTTCCATAAACAGCATGGACAGAAGCCAGATTGCTTCATTTTTCAATCCATTTTTATAAGAAATCAGACAAAAAGTTAACAGTCCATTTTCAGTAAGATTTCTACAGCTTTATTTTTATTCAGAGTTCTAACTCTGAAATTGAACATTTGATAATCAAAAAACTCTCAAGTGTCAACTTTATAAATATATGCCTAAACATCTGATGTCAGCTGGAAAATATGTAAATACATTCTGTTTTAATGTAGTCCTTCCTCCATGTAGACATAGTTAAGTTCAACCAACCAGTCCAAGATCTGGACTCCTCATAACTCATACACAGACTTAAAACCATTTTCTGGGAGGGGGCGGAATGGACAGTTTCATTCTATGAGATATGAAAGGTCAGTCTGAACAGAATTTTCTTTTTAGCAAATAAAAATCAGAAGACACCTGGTATATACTACACCCTTCCCATTTAATGTTTTCTTATGAAGCCATTATAGATACTACTAGTGAACAGAACATATAAAAATACACTGTAAAGGAAAGGGACAACCAACTGTTCCACAAGGATACAGCTAAACCAAGAATTTAAAGTATAATAAAAAGGAAAGCTCTTCATGTGTTAAGCTTAAGCATAACTACACTGAAATTAGTAAGCAGTCAAGGCTGTTCCATGCGGCAGTTCAGGAGGCTTATAGGTTCAATAAATGAAGTTCAACAGAATAAACAGGGACATTTTAGGATTCAACAAAACTTTTACAGGTATAGTTCTTACCTTTTTAGAAACTTTCCACCCTTTGCAGTTTCCTGTTCCCCAACTTCGGGATAAAATGAGCGCATTCGAGCCTCCTCACGTGGAGCACTCTGTGAAGGGATTGTCTTTCCAGGGCTTCTCCTTGAAGGGATGTGATGCAATGGGCTGTTCTGAGAAGGACTGTAGCGACTGGAACCATTTCCAAGGGAACCAGAGCCAGACCTCTCAGGGCTATGTTGAATGGAATGTGAATGTTGAGGTGTGTTTTTAGCTGAGTGAACTGTGCTGAGCAAGGGGGCATCAGAGCAAGATGAACTCTGACTGGGTGGGGAGGCAATAGAAGGACTATGGGGTGACCTTGGACTGTTATCATATGCTGAAAGGCCAGGCCAAATGTCACCAGAAGCTGCTGATGATTTGTTAAAGTCATCAAGGGACTCAGATGGGTCATGTTCAAATGTATCTTTCTGTTCATCCTGTGATTTACTTTTTAAAGGGCTATCTTGCAAAGGAGCTCCCTCAGTTTTCTTAGCCTGCTTTTCCAGAGACCCACGTCTTTTGGAAGAGACAGGAGATTTGCTGTATGGGGATGAAGAACGAGATGAAGAGGACCTTGGAGACCTGGAAGATCTGTAAGATCGACGAGATCTGCTCCTGGACCTCTGGGAAGACACAGACCTTCGCTTTGGACTTCTGGAACGTGAACGACCCCGCCTAGGGCTTCGGGAGTGTCTTCGATTCCAGACGGGTCTGTAACCTCCACGATGATATCTACCACCTCCTCCTTGATAATACCCTCTACCTCTTCCTCTGTAACCATAGGGGCGTCTCATTCCTCTATTATTTCTGTAATCTCTGCGATAATCTCTAGAATAAACACGATCCCTACTGCGAGATCGTGAATAGGTCCTAGACCGAGACCTAGAACTAAAATTAAAAGAAAAAGTTAGTACGTGACAATTCAAAAATCCTTTAAGATAAATAAATATACTAAAACCCGATGTCAAATGCAATTTGTTGGTAATACACTAAAAGTACATGAGAAATTAACTCTATAATTCATCTTTATTGACTATGTTATGAATAAACTATCAAATAAAAAGACCAGCAGTTTGATGCTACAAATTAAGTCAATACTACAAGTTACTTGTGATTTGAAAAGCTATATGTAAGAGTGACAAGCCATCAGGAACGGGACCACACAAATGAAATACCATGTAAAGAGAAAAAAAAGTCAGGAAGCATAATTACAATTTTGTTGTACACCTTGAAGAAGTTCAAGGGTAAACTAAGTGAGGCACTAAATGATTAAAGCAACAATACTAACATCTAGTTCATCTAAGATGAATTAAAACTAAGCTGAACTCAAATAAGATGAACTAAGTTCCCAAATTCACTTTTGTTGAAGACCACATGTAAGTGGAGGAGATATTAAAGAAAAGAGCAACTAAACACCACAACATTAAATCAAATTAGCCCAAAGAACTATAAATTAAAGTACCATCAATTTACCTGTATCTCTTTTTTCTAGAATGTGATCTGGACCTTGACCTAGAAGTGGACTGAGATCTGGACTTTGATCTTGAAGAATGAGATCTAGAATTAGATCGACCCATTTTCTTCAGTGGATTGCTTCTAATCAAAAGGAAGAACAGTGAAAAAAAGTGAAAGGGAAAACATTTAGATTTCATGTAGCCCTGATTAGTGAATCTTACTGTTATATCGTGAATCAGGCTCTTAATAGAAAGAGAATAAAATATTTTTGACTAGAAAAAAAAATCTAACTATATAAAAGTAAATACCACTTTAGCGATGAAAAAGATTACATCGAAGACTGACTAGACCATCTGGATTCTTTAAAATTACCGATGCTGTCAAGCCACTACCCCAGATCTCGTGTGTCCTAACTATTTGGATGGAAGAGCTTTTGGCAGGAGGAGAAAGAGACCAGGGTGAAAAAGAATTCTCCCCTCAGCAAGCACTCAAAGATTTGATAAGGAAGGGGAGGTTTTCTGGTCAACATGTTTTTCCAGCTTTGGACAAGTGACTTGTAGTAGCAGCTTGGAAGGTGTTTTGTACCTGCAATCAAGCACTGAATGTAAACCGTAGGCCAATTTAATGCAATTTTGACAATTTCCCTTTCATCTCACTTTTAAACAAGTTGTCTTCATCCTGAGCAATTCAAAATTCTCCATGTGAAAACTTTAAAATAATTCAGAAGTGTGAAATCAGATTAAAGATTTTTTTTTAAATCTATTCACCACTGAATGGAAACGATAATTTGTATGGGAGAAGTAGCATTAAAGAAAAACTACTTTCTTTCTTCAGTTCACAGTATGAGTCTGAGCTACTTCTAAGGCTTCAAACACAGATGAGAATTTGCACCAAAGCTGCCAGTTTAAGTAAAATATCTTTTTTTTTTAATCTATACAATATGTGCCTTTAAAAAAATATTACTAACCGCTGGAAGCACAAAAGCAAGCTATGCACCCAAAACTTACAGCTCTCTCCAGAGCTGCACAACCTGATATGTGCTGACCCTTAAAAAAAAGACATGAAGAAACACCCAGCATTCTGTTTAAGAGAAAGAATAATTTTGAGCTGTGTGTATTACCCTTCATTCATGTGGACTAAAGCTACATAGCCTCAATCACATTTCCTCCAATCAAGAATATTTTTTAAGATTCATTTTTTAAAATTTTCTTACAATATGAAAATTGTTATGGGCTTTAAGTTTCTTAAGACTACAGCAACTAACTGAATAAAGATACCTAGGGTATAACTAAACAATTTGCAACTGACTATTAGCTGTGTAAATTAACGATCCTGGCTAGATATAATCTTAAAAAAACATCAGCCATAGGGGAAAAAACCCACACACAACTTAGTTCTTTCCGGTTTAGCATTTCAAATTTCCTTATGTTCTGTTAAAAACAGAATAACTTTGTTTCAATATCATTTTCCTTTGAACATAACTCAACTTGAACTGTATTCATTTGAGAGAAAGCGTCAGCTGAGTGCTGACTTGAATTGAAACTCCTGGCAAGTAGTTTGGAGCTTCTGGTTTTCAGTGCCTCAGAGTCCAAAATCAGCAGTGCTAACAATGATTTAAAATAAGTTAAAGCAAAGGGATAAAATGTATCGATACTGACACTTTATATAACCCTTTTGTAAAAGCCTAAAGCTAACCTTTATCTATTATTGGCAATACAAGTCCAATAAAACAAGGATATTCTGTCATGCACCTATGTATATTTTTCAGATGTTGGAGTCAGTCACACACCCATTTATATATAGATATATAAAAATAAAAGACAAAAACTTCGTGAACTTTATGCACAGTAGCAACTTTGTTATACATCCTGCTTGCTCTCCACAAGGATCTTTACCAATTAAAGAAACCTAAGCACATAACAGTATAAAAGTGAACTGTTATGAGTGTGTGTATATATACATACACACACAAAAACACTCAGTTTATGACAGGTTTCAGAGTAGCAGCCATGTTAGTCTGTATCCACAAAAAGAAAAGGAGTACTTGTGGCACCTTAGAGACTAACAAATTTATTTAAGCATAAGCTAAAAGTACATGTGCTCAAATAAATTTGTTAGTCTTTAAGGTACCACAAGTACTCCTTTTCTTTTTTACTCAGTTTATGCAATCTCTTACATTTTACTGAGACATTTTACACATGTATATTTAAAAGATTATGAACTATAAGCATATTTAAATGTATACGTACCTTCCCTTAATATTTAATTTTCTACTCTAATGCTGTGTGTGTGAGTACATATATATAAAAACCAGCAACTTTAAAGTTCACAGCTTCTTGTTAGTTAACAGAAAAACCAAAAACATGGTCAATGTAGAGTTTAGCAGCTCCACAGGGGTTCTGATTTCCATTTCCTTACACTGCACTACAGAGCTCTGGAGCTTCTTAGGTTTGTTCAAGTCTGCAGCTCCCCCTGCCTTGAACTGCTCTAAAGAGAGTAGGCACAATCCACAGGGTATTCCATTTCTATTCTATTAGCCCAGTATACACTTTATGCAATGCAAGCTCTTAACATTTTTTTAAAAATTGGCATGTAACACTATGTAAGTTTGAAGTTTTCCAATCAAGTGTTTTTTAAGCTAACTGGACTCAAACATATTGCATGCTTTCAGAAGCATCCATAACAAAACTTTCATGCCACATTAGAATTTTTTTTAAATTATAAGGCGAGTGAACATGAGGCTATCACGGTTCCACTATAAATAAAGAACTGCTATTAAGTGGCTCTACATTCAGGATAACTTTGTGATTTAAACACAGGTTGATGAGTTTTCTTTGTAATTTGCAGAAAAACACCCAATTACCATTCTGAAATAAATCCAAGGCTACAAAACAATTGTGCATAGAACTAGATAAAACACAAACTTGCAAAAGCCAGAACGTTAGTCTTTTAACTCCAAAAAGGCAGTCCTCTATTACTTGAGCTTCGGGAAAATGTGTTTACCCAGATGAAATGTAGGTCTCATATGTTCTCTCTAAGCTACTGCCAGCCATCTATGATTAAACTACTCATACATAGGCCTGGTCTACACTTAAAAATTACATCGACCTAGCTACATCACTCAAGGCTGTGAAAAATTTCACACTCTGTGCAATGTAGTTAGGACGACCTATCATCCACTGTAGATGCAGCTAGATCAACACAATACTTCCTTTGACTTAGCTACTACCTCTTGGTGAGGTGATTTCACTACATCGATTAAAAAAAACATTTTCTCAATGTAGGAAGTGTCTACACTGCAGCAGCATAGCCGCAGTATAGCAGCTATGCCACTGTAGCACTTATAGCCATACTCTAACGCTGTTAATTATTTTTTTAATCAAACTGCTTAATTGCAACCAATTTTCTTCAATACTATAGTTAAATCTCACTGAAAATTCTTTCACAGGCTACACGGAAAGTTACATAGTAGTACATTTTATGACCAGATTTACTAATTTTCTTCAAAGTTTACAGAAAAAATCTCCTTAGTTTTCTGGTAAGCCTAGCAATTTTCAAGTCAAATCAATTTTTCCAGCCCGACTAATAAGAGATTAAAAATAGAATTCATAATAGAATGTGATTGCATCCTTAAAATGGAAATAATCTGTTCATAAATTTTCACTGTGACTATTTAGCATTATTGATTATACATTTACAAACTACATTCTAGGACTAGGCATATTCTCAACTGGACATCACACACACAGAACATTTTACTAGATGCAAAACATATTGAATACTGAAATTTTAGAACTAAACATTTTAGCCATACATTCACAAATACTGTAGTCTCTGGAGGATTAAACCATTCAATTTACAGGTTTTAAATAGCCAGGTTCAGATCAGACTAGAAATATAAAAGTGACAGAAATAAACCAAATGTTAATCTTACCTTAGGCCTCTAGATGTTAATCAATGAAGTGATTTTAAAATTCTGAAAATGTGCTCTCAGAAATATTAATTCCTGTAAAACAAAAATGATTTTGAATGATATGCTTATTCAGTTTCCTAAAAAGTTTTATGTGAATGAGGCACAATTTTGTTCAGAAAGGTTTGTTTAACATAATATGTGTTCAAAAATATCTCTGAGGAAAATGCTATGTATACAGGGTCTAACTGGAATCCTCTTTTTAAATGACATCAATGAAAACTTTATAAGGAGGTCTCTATGCAACACCTAATAAGACTATTAGACATATATATGGCTATATTAGATATGTATGGATACAGAAATGTCCAAAAACATGTACAGGCATTTAAATCCCTAATATTTTCTCATAAAGTTTTCTTTTATAGTCTTATGGGAGCATAAAAGATATGGACAGTAATTAATCTGCTACCCACCATGTTTCATTGTCTAAAGAATTTTGTTTTTACACAGACGGAATCAGAATGTCAAAGAGCATATTAGGAAAACACTGCACCAGAATTCAGCATTCCATGATCTGTACAAAGCGTCCAGCACAGAAAAATTCTACACAAAGATTTGGGTTTGTAGAAACAGAATCACGTTTTAGTCAGTATCTGGCATCTCAGAGTAAATGAACTTGGTCTCAATTTAGGTATTTTTACAACCCACAGCACCAAGGTATCTCAGTACCTTACAGCTATATGTAAATTAAGGGCTCACTCCTACTCCCACTCAACTAAATAGGAATTTTTCCACAGGACTTCAACGTTAAGTAGGATTGATGCATAAATGCTTCTGCATCCCAACATTATTTAATAATTTGGAAAAAAGGCACACAAATCAGTGTCTACACATGGACCTATTCAGATACAGCTGTTTTCCAAAAGTAGTTAGACACTTCTTGCAAAAGTCAGATTCTGACTAACTCCATGTGCAGGCAAGCCTGTAGAAGAGTTACACGTTCTGTTTTCGCTATGATATATGAAATTACACACACCCATTTGTTGCTTTTGGACACAATAAAGTGAAAAGATTTGATGATGATGCATTTGCTACTTTCTCAATGGACAGAGATTATACCTCAGGGATTCTAAAACTGGGAGTCACAACCCCTCAGGGGGGTCGTAAGATTATTACATGTGGGTCACGAGCTGTCAGCCTCCACCCCCAAACTCTGCTTTGCCTCCAGCATTTATAATAGTGTTAAATATTTTAAAATGTGTTTTTAATTTATAAAGGGGGTTGCAAAAGGGGTCACCAATACAAAAGTTTGAGAACCACTGTACCTCAACTTGCAACTGTGTGTATATTTTCAGATTTTTCAACATTGTGAGATTACTCTTGCATACACACGTTTTCAGAGCTATCTGACGGTTAATACTCCTGGAGGATGCTGTGCCACTGCATACATACAGAATTCATGTCCCCGCAGATTTTTTTTCTCCACAGAAAATACCTTGTCAGATAGGAACTGCAATTATGCCCTTTGCCACCAGGGGCTGCTGTGGCACCAGAACAGAGGGCAGCTGGCTCACCACAGCAGCCAAAGAGTCAAGTGGCACCTTAAAGACTAACCGATCTGGTTAGTCTTTAAGGTGCCACCGGACTCCTTGTTGTTTTTGTGGAAACAGACTAACACGGCTACCCCGGATACATAGCAGTCAGCAGCTGATAGGGAGAGAGCAGAGGCTGCTTTTTTCACAGCAACATGTCTGCAGGGCCAGGTGAGCGGGGATGGACAGAGCAGGGGGGTCACAAAGACTGGGATTCAGAAGGGCTGGGGCGGGGAACAGACTGGAGCAGGGGCTGAAAGGAGTGGGGGGTGCATGGCCACATGAGAATGGGGGGACAGTGGGAGAGCTTAGTGGGGATGCATGGACACATGGGGACAGGGGGAGACAGTGCATGGGGACAGGGGTGCAGGGACCCATGAGGATGGGGGGGAGGAGGGATGCAGAGACACATAGGAACAGGGGCAGATGTGCCTGACTGAAGGGGAGAGGCTAGGGGTCAGCCAGGGTCTGCATGGGGAAGGCTCCCCAACAATCCATGCCCCCCCCCCCCAAAATCTGTTCCATACTTCTCCCATCCACACCCAACAACACTCCAGGCTCACACCCAGGCTCCTTCCCAGCAATTACTTCCCTCTCCCTCGGCTCCTCCGTTACCAGACTCCCACCAAGCTTTTGCACTGCTTCTGAGGGGTATGCGAAATACGTTTCTGTATTCTAGTGTTAATATGCCTAGTAAGGAATCTTTTAGTCAAAAACATTTCCTAAATCTTTTTTGTTAATTGTATTGTTTCAGATATACTTGTTGACAGGTATTCTGAAATAAATTACCAAAATAATTGAAAGTGGAGTATTTATAGTGTCATTTTGACAAATAAATGATGTAGAATTTTTAAATATTGTATGCAGAATTCTCCATTTCTTGTGCAGAATTCCCCCAGGAGTAAAATGAAAATGATTGTCTCTATGCTGTACAGACAAAACATGTCCATCTAAGAAATACTGAGATATGGAAATTAAAGTGAGACAGTGAAATAATAAAATTGATTTTCTCCAGAACTATTTGATTTGAATCATTATTCCCTTAGAGAGAAATGAGAAGATATTTCAAAAATATTTGTACATTTAAGTTAATAGATGTCATGTTGGTAGTAACAAGATTTCTTTATTCTGCCAGCAATCAATACACTACAGACATTATTGCACACAAGTAGAAATATAAAGAGAAGCCTATGTTTATTTAACATGCAATTACGAGTCATCACCATAACGTTTCGAGGAATCCTGCCAGCACATAAATTACATCCGATGGTAATGTAGGTATTTTAAGCAGCAAATCTCACACAATAATTTTGAGCTGGTGGTGGTCTGAACTGTGTGTTTATTTTTCAGAGCAATCACTACCATCCTCTTAGAACAGTGATTTTCAACCTTTCTTCATGTGCAGAGCCCTAAAAAATTTCAAATGGAGCTGCAGATCCTTTGGAAATCTTAGGCCATCTGGTAGACCCCAAGTTGAAAACTACTGCCTTAAAACATAAAAACAGCCACTTTATGCAATGCCAAGGAAGGCTCTGTTTCATGCTCCCCCTGCTCTTTCTATAGTAGAAAGTAACTACTCCTTTAAAGAAGGAAGAGTTGGGCTAAAAGTTTTGCTTCTAAATCTCCAATCGGCTATCAGAGTTGTACTGACTTCACAAATGCTGCTGGTGCATTAAGTAAACAAGAACCTAATTGCTGCTCCATTAGAAGGAAGGCGAGTGTTTACCGAGTGAACAAAGACTAAGGACATGACTGAAACCTCCCTTTTCAGCTTGGGCGCTCCCTGCATTTGTGGCACCCGCGCTTAAGAGCGCAGGTGCCCCGGCTCGGGTCGCTCTTTCACAAAGCGGAGGAAACAGAAAAATGCAAGTTTTAAAAAGGAAAAGGGGACTATAAAGGCGCCGAGCGCGGAGCAGCCTCCCCCCGCGGCAGTGCCCGCCTGGCAGGGCTGAACGGCTTCCCCGCCCGCTCACAGCGCTGCTCCCGCTGAACTGGGCACGGCTCCGGCAGGCGCCGGCGAAGAGCACGGGGCTTGCCAGGTGATAACGCCCCCGCCACCCGCTCCCCTGCGCTTCCCGCCGGGCCTGGCGCAGGCCACCGGCCCACTGCTGGAGGCGGGGCGGCCCCTCGCCAAAGGCACCGCAGCTCCAGGAGCCCGCGGCAGCCCCGGGCCGCGCGCGCGCGCGCGCGCTCCCCGTGGGGGGAGGGTCTGGCGCCCCCGTAGTTTCTCCCCGCCGCTCCCCGCGGCCTGGCCGCGCGGAGCGGAAACACAAACCCGCCAGACACTGCGCGAGGCCGCCAGCGCGTTGGCGGGTCCTCGCGGCTCCCAGTTCCCTCCGTTCCCTCCCTGCCGCCTGCGTAGCCGAGCCCGCCCTCTGCCCTCACCTGGCGGGCGGCGCTCCCAGCTGCCCCGCTCCCTTATCGCAGCTCGGCGGCCATTTCCCGTCGCCGTGAGGAAGAGACTGGGAGGGAAAACCATAGAGAAAAGAGAGAGGAGGACTACGGCAGCGCGAGACTAGGACACGTCACTTCCGCTCTGAGCTCCGTAAAGTCGCGCACGCATAAGCACTGCTGTGTTGGCGTCGGGTCTCTGCCCACAGCAAAGATGGAGGCCGCTGCTTCCGGATTAATCAGGTGACGGTAAACTCAGTCACATGACACCCGGGAGCCTGCGTTCGTATCCTAAGAAAGTGAGCGACCAGAAAGGAATGGGCCCGGGTCCCGCCCCACGCGGAGCGACCTGCACCGAGGCCCCCAGAACGGGCCGCGCTCCCTCCATGGCACCTCCTAGCTGAGTGTAATCGCGGGGGAAGGACTCCTCCTGCAGCACCCTGTCTCCCTCCCGCGTAGGGTGACCTGCAGGGGGAAGGGCCCCCACCCCTAGGAGAGTTAGTTACCTGTAGGGGAAAGGTTGCGCCCATCCACAGGAAGCTGTGCAAGGTGCGCTCTCTCGCTCTGTGTAAAGCTGAGCAGAGCCAGATAGGAGCACTCTCTGATCCGATCAGTCTTTTCTACGGGACGGAACGAGATCTCTTAACAACGGCGCTTTACTGCAGTAGCTTTTGCAGCAGATGTTTGCATATTGCTTTGTTGCAGTACAGCAATATGATATGTGAGAAGAGGGAGCAGGAGGGAATTCACCTTAAGGGTTGCAGCACTGCCACTGCAACAAACATGAACTGGGGCTGCTCATTGTGATACTTGAATGTAGGTAGTGCATTCATATGCCACAAAGTTGAGTACATAATAAAATAACACTAATTTGATGGGTTTTTACTTTTCCCCTTACTTCTGATCTTTGATTCCTCTCCACAGGAAAAAGTTCCCTCACCCTTTTTTCTGCACTAACTCAGGCCATTAGAAAGGATCTTCTGTCTTCGCTCTATGGCCTTCTTACAGGTTCTGTTTTAAATGGATTCCATCATCATGGTCTCATCTAAGTTCTTGGTGCACAGAAGAACAGTTGTTCAGACTGAAGGAATATTCTATCTCAGGGGTTCTCAAACTGGGGGTTGGGACCCCTCAGGGGGTTGTGAGGTTATTACATGAGGGGTTGCGAGCTGTCAGCCTCCACCCCAAACCCCACTTTGCCTACAGCATTTATAATGGTGTTAAATATATTTTAAAATGTTTTTAATTTATAAGGGGGTTGCACTCAGAGGCTTGCTATGTGAAAGGGGTCACCAGTACAAAAGTTTGAGAACCACTGTTTTATGTGTTAGCTGAGCTCCTTCACATATTCACATTTCTAAAGCTGAAAGGTGAGTTTCTGAGGATCTATGGTCAAGACCCTTCTGAGGTCTAAGAGCAGTGTTGGCATGGCATGGTGCATTGCAACATTACAATGTGATGATGTAGTCCCCCTCCCAAAGAGATTTCAGGACACAGGGATTGAGTTTTTCTCATTGATACCAGTGTAAAGTTGGAGCAACTCCATTGAAATCAGTGGAGTTACTCCAAGTTTACTCCATCATAAGTGATAGCAAAATTTGAATCTGAGCTGTGTTAAGGTTTAGCTCTTCTGTACAAAAGCCTGAGATTAACCCTTCCAGCTATCAGAGTAGCAGCTGTGTTAGTCTGTATCTGCAAAAAGGAAAGGATTACTCGTGGCACCTTAGAGACTAACAAATGTATTTGAGCATAAGCTTTCATGAGCTACAGCTCACTTCATTGGATACATTCAGTGGAAAATACAGTGGGGAGATTTATATACACAGAGAACATGAAACAATGGGTGTTACCATACACACTGTAATGAGAGTGATCAGGTAAGGTGAGCTATTACCGGGGGGGGGGGTACCTTTTGTAGTGATAATCAAGGTGGGCCATTTCCAGCATTTGACAAGAATGTCTGAGGAACAGTGGGGGAGGGGGAATAAATATGGGGAAATAGTTTTACTTTGTGTAATGACACATCCACTCCCAGTCTTTATTCAAGCCTAAGTTAATTGTATCCAGTTTTCAAATTCATTCCAATTCAGCAGTCTATCGTTGGAGTCTGTTTTTGAAGTTTTTTTGTTGAAGAATTGCCACTTTTAGGTCTGTAATTGAGTGACCAAAGAGATTGAAGTGTTCTCCGACTGGTTGTTCTTCCAGCTATGTCATTTCACGTTATGATTGTGTTTAGTCTCACAAACCTAGTAGTATTAGGCTGTGTCAATCTATGGATTGGACAAATTATAGGGAAAGAAATAAAGATGATGATTCAGTAGATGGCACTCTTTCATCTAAGTCAGCTCTCAGTGAATACCTCCTCCTGCTTCTAGTGGAAACTATGCAGGTAGAGGATCTTGTCTCTTTTATTTTATTTATATATATATAAATATATATATATGGAATTAAAGAGCTGTTGGCACTTTCACAGAATAGATATATTAGCCCTGTTATTCTGGTTGGGTTTGGGTAAGTACATTCTACTTCCCTAAATTCCCCCCTTCCCAAGATACACAAACCAGAGAACCCAGGCAGACCCCTCATGTCTGAAGAAATGTCAGGAAACCATCCTCAATCCACTCACCACACAAAGGACCAGCTTTCTCCAAAGCACTACTGACTTCCTCCAGAAACTCCACAACCTCCCCTACAGAAGACCATCTTTGCCACCATGGATGTCACCTCCCTATACACCGTCACTCACCATGTTGGCATTGCTGCCTGCCTCAAATACCTATAAGGTAATGTACAGTGTTCAGAAATCCACCCAAAATCATTGCCAAACTCATCCATTTCATCTTCACCCACAACTTCACATTTAACAACAAACATTTTGTCCAAACCATGGAAACAGCCATAGTTACTAGGATCGCTCCCCAATATGCCAGCCTCTTCATGGGCCACCTCAGGGAAGAATTTCTGAAAAAATGCACCACAAAACCAGTGATAGACCTGAGATACATCAATTATGTTTTCATCCCTAGGTCAAACAACCTAAACTCCCTCATAGATTTCCACCACAACTTCAACCACCACCACCCATCCATCAAACTCTCTCACCGCATCAACTTCCTGGACACCACAATTAGCTTCAACAATGGAATCCTACAAAAGACTACAGTAACTCCTTGCTTAATGTTGTAGTTACGTTCTTGAAAAATGTGACTTTAAGCATAATGATGTTAAGCAAATCCAATTTCCCCATAAGAAGTAATGTAAAAGGGGGAGTTAGGTTCCAGAGAATTTTTTTTGCCAGACAAAAGACATTATATACATATACAGTATAAGTTTTAAACAATTTTAAACAAACAATTTAATACTGTACTCAGCAATGATGACTGTGAAGCTTGGTTGAGGTGGTGGAGTCAGAGGATGAAAGAGGATGGATCGTCCAGCTGCTCCTCTTGCTGTTCTTTCCAAAGTGCTGGGGATGCTCAACCCCCAGCTCTGCCCCAGGCCCGCCCCCACTCCACCCCTTCCCCCAAGACCCTGCCTCGCCTCTTCCTGCCCCTGTTCCACCTCCTCCTCCCGAGTGCACCACATCCTTGCTCCTCTCCCCCAGCCTCCTGAATGCCACGAAACAGCTGATTGCTGCAGGTGGGAGGCGCGGGGGGCAGTGCGCTACGTCCTCCCTCCTCCCCCACCCCCCAGAACTTCCCCCCCTGCCCCCCCCAAGAGCCTCGTGAACACTACAAAACAGCTGATTGCTGCGGGCGGGAGGCATGGGGAGGGAAGGAGGGAGGACCTGCTGATCCACAGGGCCACCGGCGAGCAGGAGGTGCTGGGGGGGGGTGGAGAGGAGCTGATAGGGGGGCTGCCGGCCCACCCTAGTTCGAAGTCCCCAAGGCTAAACAACATTATAAGTAAACATTGTGCATCTTTAAATGAGTATGTTCTCCAATAGATCAGTGACATAACAACAAAACAACGTTAACCCGGACGACTTTAAGTGAAGAGTTACTGTATATACAAGCTCGCCCTTACCTCCACAGATCCCTCCCAGACACACCAAAAAATCTGTTGTTATCTGCAGCCAGGTCTTCAGAAACCACAGAATTTCCTCCAAAGAGAAAGTCCGGGATACACACCTAAACACAGTTAAAATTGCCTTTACTAAACAAGGACACTTCATAAAAAAAGTAGATTTCACCATGGAATGAGCAACCCAAATACCCTGGAGAATCTGCTTCAATACAGGGAAAGAAACAAAACAAAAAACCTCTGAGCCCACACTGGAATCCATACAAGGCATCTTAAAACAATTACAGCCCATATTTGATGGGGACCCGACCTGAAAGAAATCTTTCCTGAACACTCTCTTCTGGCCTAAACAACAGCAACCTTGCCAAGCTCATCATCAGAAGCAAGCTCCCACAGACCAGGACCCACCAACTCAAACCGGCATCAGACCCTGCCAGAACAATGGATGCAAAACCTGCAGACATATCTCCATTGCTGTGATGATCAGCACCAGCCACAGCACACCTTTTAAGATTCATGGGTCCCACATATGCCTGTCACAATATCATGTACCTCATCCAGTGCATCCAATGCCCCAATAACAACTATTTGAGTGAAATCAGACAATCACTACGCTTTCGAATGAACTCTCACAGAAAATGATAAAAGACCAAAAAAAAAAAAAAACCAACATATCACCCATGGGTGAACATTTCTCACAAAGTGATCACTTCATATTTGCACTTTCAATAGTCATCTTCAAAGAAATCCTCATAACACCTTCAAATGGTGAGTCTGGGAACTTAAATTCATAACTTTGCTATACTCCAATCACCATTGACTTAATAGGGACTCTTGTTTTATGGCTCATTACAATTTGTAATGCATCAGACTGCCTGCTACCCTTAATTGCCCACTTCAACCCCCTTATGCATAACAATCCAATCTGTAATTATCCACTTCTTTTCAGCTGGCCTCCTACAACATGTATTACCCGTTATGCTTAACAATCTGTGTCCCAACTTGTATTTAGGTCAGACACCCTGATTTCCTTCCCCAGACCTGAAGAAGAACTCTGTGTAGCTCAAAAGCTTGTACCTTCCACAAGCAGAAGTTGGTCCAATAAAAGATATTACCTCACCTACCTTATCTCTCTGTAAACCACTTTGAAATCTTCAGATGGAAGGTGTTATAGAAAAGCAAATATTATTAATTAATACATTATTGTCTCTCTTTAAAATCCTGCTGCTTTTTTCACGTAGACACTTTAAAAATGACCTTAAAACTAATCCTACATGAGTGAAACTTGGCACATCTGTTCACCAGGGTTGAATTAGATACAAAAGCGGAAGTTGATGGATTCTGAGGGGGTTTTTTATACCACCGCACATTCCTGTCTTGGACATCCATCCTAATTGCAAAGTTTGAAGGGCCAGTGGTGGTAGCAGCAGAACATAGCAGTGAGTCTCTGGGTTCTGTTGCTGCAGAATATGTGACTCGGCAGCTGGCCTATCTCCTAGAAGATCCTTACAAGGTGGATTTGGCAGACATGAGAAGGGAGCAGGCAGACATTCCTAACCCTGCTTCCCCATCCCCTAAGCCCTGGTCTACACTAGGACTTTAGGTCGAATTTAGCAGCGTTAAATCGATGTAAACCTGCACCCCGTCCACACAATGAAGCCCTTTATTTCGACTTAAAGGGCTCTTAAAATCGATTTCCTTACTCCACCCCTGACAAGTGGATTAGCGCTTAAATCGACGTTGCCGGCTCGAATTTGGGGTACTGTGGACACAATTCGATGGTATTGGCCTCCGGGAGCTATCCCAGAGTGCTCCATTATGACCGCTCTGGACAGCACACTCAACTCAGATGCACTGGCCAGGTAGACAGGAAAAGAACCGCGAACTTTTGAATCTCATTTCCTGTTTGGCCAGCGTGGCAAGCTGCAGGTGACCATGATGGAGTCCCAGAATCGCAAAAGAGCTCCAGCATGGACCGAACGGGAGGTACGGGATCTGATCGCTGTTTGGGGAGAGGAATCCGTGCTCTCAGAACTCCGTTCCAGTTTTCGAAATGCCAAAACCTTTGTGAAAATCTCCCAGGGCATGAAGGACAGAGGCCATAACAGGGACCCGAAGCAGTGCCGCGTGAAACTGAAGGAGCTGAGGCAAGCCTACCAGAAAACCAGAGAGGCGAACAGCCGCTCCGGGTCAGAGCCCCAAACATGCCGCTTCTATGATGAGCTGCATGCCATTTTAGGGGGTTCAGCCACCACTACCCCAGCCGTGTTGTTTGACTCCTTCAATGGAGATGGAGGCAATACGGAAGCAGGTTTTGGGGACGAAGAAGATGAGGAGGAGGAGGAGGTTGTAGATAGCTCACAGCAAGCAAGCAGAGAAACCGGTTTTCCCGACAGCCAGGAACTGTTTCTCACCCTAGACCTGGAGCCAGTACCCCCCGAACCCACCCAAGGCTGCCTCCTGGACCCAGCAGGCGGAGAAGGGACCTCTGGTGAGTGTACCTTTTAAAATACTATACATAGTTTAAAAGCAAGCATGTGAAAGGATTACTTTGCCCTGGCATTTGCGGTTCTCCTAGATGTAGTCCTAAAGCCTTTGCAAAAGGTTTCTGGGGAGGGCAGCCTGATTGCGTCCTTCATGGTAGGACACTTTACCACTCCAGGCCAGTAACACGTACTCGGGAATCATTGTAGAACAAAGCATTGCAGTGTATGTTTGCTGGCATTCAAACAACATCCGTTCTTTATCTCTCTGTGTTATCCTCAGGAGAGTGAGATCTAATTCATGGTCACCTGGTTGAAATAGAGTGGTTTTCTTCAGGGGACACTCAGAGGAGCCCATTCCTGCTGGGCTGTTTGCCTGTGGCTAAACAGAAATGTTCCCCGCTGTTAGCCACAGGGAGGGGGGAAGGTTGAGGGGGTAGTCACGCGGTGGGAGGAGGCAAAATGCGACCTTGTAACGAAAGCACATGTGCTATGTATGTAATGTTAACAGCAAGGTTTACCCTGAAAGAGTGTAGCCACTGTTTTATAAAATGTGTCTTTTTAAATACCGCTGTCCCTTTTTTTTTCTCCACCAGCTGCATGTGTTTCAATGATCACAGGATCTTCTCCTTCCCAGAGGCTAGTGAAGCTTAGAAAGAAAAAAAAAAACGCACTCGCGATGAAATGTTCTCCGAGCTCATGCTGTCCTCCCACACTGACAGAGCACAGACGAATGCGTGGAGGCAAATAATGTCAGAGTGCAGGAAAGCACAAAATGACCGGGACGAGAGGTGGCGGGCTGAAGAGAGTAAGTGGCGGGCTGAAGACAGGGCTGAAGCTCAAATGTGGCGGCAGCATGATGAGAGGAGGCAGGATTCAATGCTGAGGCTGCTGCAGGACCAAACCAGTATGCTCCAGTGTATGGTTGAGCTGCAGCAAAGGCAACTGGAGCACAGACTGCCACTGCAGCCCCTCTGTAACCAACTGCCCTCCTCCCCAAGTTCCATAGCCTCCACACCCAGACGCCCAAGAACGCGGTGGGGGGGGGGCCTCCGGCCAACCAGCCACTCCACCACAGAGGATTGCCCAAAAGAAAGAAGGCTGTCATTCAATACATTTTAAAGTTGTAAACTTTTAAAGTGCTGTGCTTAAAGTGCTGTGTGGCATTTTCCTTCCCTCCTCCACCACCCCTCCTGGGCTACCTTGGTAGTCATCCCCCTATTTGTGTGATGAATGAATAAAGAATGCATGAATGTGAAGCAACAATGACTTTATTGCCTCTGCAAGCGGTAATTGAAGGGAGGAGGGGCGGGTGGTTAGCTTACAGGGAAGTAGAGTGAACCAAGGGGCGGGGGGTTTCATCAAGGAGAAACAAACAGAACTTTCACACCGTAGCCTGGCCAGTCATGAAACTGTTTTTCAAAGCTTCTCTGATGCGTACCGCGCCCTCCTGTGCTCTTCTAACCGCCCTGGTGTCTGGCTGCGCGTAACCAGCAGCCAGGCGATTTGCCTCAACCTCCCACCCCGCCATAAACGTCTCCCCCTTACTCTCACAGATATTGTGGAGCACACAGCAAGCAGTAATAACAGTGGGAATATTGGTTTCGCTGAGGTCTAAGCGAGTCAGTAAACTGCGCCAGCGCGCCTTTAAATGTCCAAATGCACATTCTACCACCATTCTGCACTTGCTCAGCCTGTAGTTGAACAGCTCCTGACTACTGTCCAGGCTGCCTGTGTACGGCTTCATGAGCCATGGCATTAAGGGGTAGGCTGGGTCCCCAAGGATACATATAAGCATTTCAACATCCCCAACAGTTATTTTCTGGTCTGGGAATAAAGTCCCTTCCTGCAGCTTTTGAAACAGACCAGAGTTCCTGAAGATGCGAGCATCATGCACCTTTCCCGGCCATCCCACATTGATGTTGGTGAAATGTCCCTTGTGATCCACCAGAGCTTGCAGCACTATCGAAAAGTACCCCTTGCGGTTTATGTACTCGCCGGCTTGGTGCTCCGGTGCCAAGATAGGGATATGGGTTCCATCTATAGCCCCACCACAGTTAGGGAATCCCATTGCAGCAAAGCCATCCACTATGACCTGCACATTTCCCAGGGTCACTACCCTTGATATCAGCAGATCTTTGATTGCGTGGGCTACTTGCATCACAGCAGCCCCCACAGTAGATTTGCCCACTCCAAATTGATTCCCAACTGACCGGTAGCTGTCTGGCGTTGCAAGCTTCCACAGGGCTATCGCCACTCGCTTCTCAACTGTGAGGGCTGCTCTCATCTTGGTATTCATGCGCCTCAGGGCAGGGGAAAGCAAGTCACAAAGTTCCATGAAAGTGCCCTTACGCATGCGAAAGTTTCGCAGCCACTGGGAATCGTCCCAGACCTGCAACACTATGCGGTCCCACCAGTCTGTGCTTGTTTCCCGAGCCCAGAATCGGCGTTCCACAGCATGAACCTGCCCCATTAGCACCATGATGCATGCATTGGCAGGGCCCATGCTTTCAGAGAAATCTGTGTCCATGTCCTGATCACTCACGTGACCGCGCTGACGTCGCCTCCTCGCCCGGTATCGCTTTGCCAGGTTCTGGTGCTGCATATACTGCTGGATAATGCGTGTGGTGTTTAATGTGCTCCTAATTGCCAAAGTGAGCTGAGCGGCCTCCATGCTTGCCTTGGTATGGCGTCCGCACAGAAAAAAGGCGCGGAACGATTGTCTGCCGTTGCTCTGACGGAGGGAGGGGCGACTGACGACACGGCTTACAGGGTTGGCTTCAGGGAGCTAAAATCAACAAAGGGGGTGCCTGTACATCAAGGAGTATTTCAGGCAGGACTTCACGGAGGGTTCCAATAAGAAATGGTGCACCTAAGTTATCGTTCTTATTGGAACAAGGAGGTTAGCCTGGCCTCTGATTGATACATGGCTAGATTTACCTCGCTGCACCTTCTCTGTGAGTGACTGTAGTGTGACCTAGAGGAATGAGTCCCCTAGACAGGGGAGGAGGCAAATGAGTACAAAACAAATCTGGTCTATTTCTTGTTTTGACCCACTCCATCTATCTTTTACATCTTTGGCTGGCAGCAGACGGTGCAGAAGGACTGCATGCCATCCACATCTCATGGCTGCTCGGCAGAAGATGGTACAGTACGACTGCTAGCAGTCCGTATCGCCTGCCCGCTCACCATAAGACGGTTCAATAGGACTGACTGCAGGACTAAAGAGAATGACCTGGTCGAGTCACTCCAAATTTAGTCCCTGCGCCCATGTCTGCCCAGGCGCTCCCAGCCGACGTGGCCAGGAGCACCTCGGACATGACAATGACGGCTACCAGTCGTACTGTACCGTCTGCTGCCACAAGGCAAGGGGTTGCTGCTACTGTGTAGCAATGCCGTACCGCGTCTGCCAGCACCCAGGAGACATAGGGTGACGGTTACCTGAGCGGGCTCCATGCTTGCAGTGGTATGGCGTCTGCACAGGTAACTCAGGAAAAAAGGCGCGAAATGATTGTCTGCCCTTGCTTTCACGGAGGGAGGGAGGGAACGGGGGCCTGACGATATGTACCCAGAACCACCCGCGACAATGTTTTAGCCCCATCAGGCATTGGGATCTCAACCCAGAATTCCAATGGGCAGCGGAGACTGCGGGAACTGTGGGATAGCTACCCACAGTGCAACGCTCCGGAAGTCGACTCTAGCCTCGGTACTGTGGAAGCGCTCCGCCGAGTTAATGCACTTAATACACTTAGAGCATTTTCTGTGGGGACACACACACTCGAATATATAAAACCGATTTCTAAAAAACCGACTTCTATAAATTCGACCTTATTCCGTAGTGTAGACATACCCTAAGAAACAGTAATGAAGAGAATGGGCCAGCTGGACAGTCCTTGAACATCTTGCAGGAAGTAGCCAGAAGACATCACTGGATTGAATAGCAAGGAGATACACTGACTTTAAAAGTCTTCCTCATAAAGGCTAACTAAAAGGTACAGAGAGGCCCACATCTATTGGGGATATAGGGAACCATGTGTAGCTGTTGAGTTGGACTGAATGGTATACATTTTTAGGGATCTAAATATCACCCAAATAGCTATATCCCTAAATATCCAAATAAAAACTGTGAGATACTGTTGATAGAGAGTTAAGCATAATAGACAGAGAGGGATTTCCAAAAGCAAGAGATTTAGGAGCACAAGTTCTATTGAAAGTCAGTGTGATTTGTGCTCCTAGGTGACTTAGGAATTTTTTAAACTCCTACCCTAAGTATAAAAACGAGTCTTTAAAGCTTACAAGCAAATGCTTCAAATGAAGTGGTATATGCCACCAGCACAAATTCATTGCCTAACGAAGAGGTCTAGAATCAGCTCCGATTTTACAGGAAGCCTCTGGAATATTTAAAATATCATACCTTATTTTGAATGGTGTCTTTCATAAAAATGTATCTGTAGAGGAGAAGGCACTTGCACCTAGAGCAATGAAATTGCATAAAGGAATATAGAGGAGGGGGGAAGCACTCTCCTGCCTAACCGTTCTCTCTTCCTGCACAGAGAAATAAATAAAGTAGTTAATTTTAACAAGGGGAATTGGACTTCCCCTCAGGATGAGGCTTGATCACTTTTGATTTACATATAGTCTATTTTTCCACATATCTTTTCCCAGATTTTGTTTGTCAGGATATAAAATATAATTCTAAGTACACTTCTGATATTTGTATTTACACATTTTCTCAGTTTTTTCATTCTTCATGGACATTTTATTTGAAGCAGTTATGAACTATCTGCCTAGCCAGATGGTGCCTTCGTTCCTGTCTAAACTTCAGTAGAAACTGGAAAAACCTGTTTGTTGATTTTTTTTTTTTTGGTATACCTTTCCTATTGGCAAAAGAGATGTGGAGAAGGTGGTGCCTTGCCTTCAACTGTGATGTCACTTTACATAACCACAGCCTTCTTTGTCCATTATTCCAGAGGCTTTCACTGGTCTCTGAGTTGTGAAGACTTTGATAGTTGTTTCAATAAATTTCATTTGTTATTTATGGAACAGTTTTGTGTGATCGCTTTATTTTTCTTCAACTAATGCAGAGAAACAGTGATTTGTACGCGGATCTGTTCCAGCCTTTAAACTAACATCTTACAGACCTCACAAGGAGCATACTGTTGACAGTTAAGTTTTGTTGTACCATGCAGTTTGTTTGCACGTAGGAAATAACTTAGCAGTTTTGCAGTGGCTCTAGAGTGTTATGACAGTGTTGGGTAAATCAAGATCTGTAACACACACCAACACAGAAGCAACAATTTAATGCAAAAAGTGGTGAAGGTGTGAAGAAGCTACTCTTTCCATATCTCTCCCTTTTTCTCTGTGACTTTGTGTTGGATCAGAACAAGTAAAGTAAAAATGGCTCAACTGTGTGAAAACTGTGTGAAGTTGCTTCAGGACTTTGTGTCCCTTGTGAAGAGGATGTCCTCAAGTCTGATACAGAACATTAAGGAATATTTGATTCTGATAAGTGAATGCTCCTTCCTAAAACGAAAGAGCTCTGAAGCCAGACAGCTATACAAACCTGTCCTTCAGCCACACGAAAAGGAGATGGTGCAAGAATTTCTACAGCACATTGAAACAGGTGAGGGGCAGTTATTTGGGGTGATATTTTTCTACATAATGACAATGGACTACTGATGAAACTGCTGTTTGTTCCAACTTGGGTTTGTGCAGTTCAGTGCTGTGGTACAGGGATAAAGCTACAGTGCTTTTCCTGCTATATTTGGGAAACTGAGGGTTCAAGTAGCATAATAAAGAGCTGCATCAAAATGATCAATAACTTTCCATTGTGACAGAGCTACAAATGCATAGGGTGACCAGACAGCAAATGTGAAAAATCGGGACGGGGGTGGGGGGGGGTAATACGAGTCTATCTAAGAAAAAGACCCAAAAATCAGCACTGTCCCTATAAAGTCAGGACATCTGATCACCCTACAAATGCATAACCTGATTTGTACACAAAAAACATATTTCATAATTCAAAGTCTTCTAGAAATTAAGACTAAAGTTTATCTGGTTAGTGGGAGGGATCTGAATCTTTGCCTTGTCTCCCCTTCCCATTTATTGGAGTTACAGTGCTAGAAACAGAATGATCCAGTTGTTTGATCACACAACTACAAATTAAGTCTATGTATGTGACAGGATTTTAGAGGATGCTAGCGTTAGATAAAACTGTACTGCTTTCGTACTCACAGAATATATTCATTTAACAGATCCACTTTATTCAGTTAGATTCACGTTAATTTTCTCATATGCTTACCACATAATCTTTGTCATCACATACTTTATCTGATTTATTCATTTACCAGCTAGTCATCTCAATGAGGGTCTCTGTGTTTTTATGTACAGGAGTTGGATTTGTGCACTAAAATATTCTTATAAGAATTATCCTTTATCAGAATATATTCATTCCTACCCCTCTGCCCTGAATTTGTTTCTGAGCTTGTTGTGCTCCTACGAAACAACATAAAAGCAGCCTGATTCTGGGAGGACACTTTGTGTGTGGTGTTGAAGTGGCTCAACTTTCAGTGGAACTTGAGGGCCCTCTGCACCGAATGGGATCAGGCCCACAAAGCATAGTTTCCACTCATCTTGATAGACGGGGATAAAAGGAGGAGGCTGTTTTGTTGAGACAATAGGCATATATGCTCAATATGAAGACAAGCAGTATTGAATGCAAGAAAGACTGCAGGGATCATCCAATCTTTATGAGATAAATGTTGAGGGGAAGGCAAGGATCTAAAGGATCCAAACCTCTCTTTGTATTTTTATGTCAATGCACCTAATACAGAAATAAGGTAGGGTTACTCATAGACAATAGCAGCTATATATATAGTGGGAATGGTTCCTGGGGCGATGCATTGCCTATCTGTCCACATTTTCAAAAATTCACTGCACTTTTTAAAATCTCCTGGCCAATGTGGACACAAAGAGAGAAGAGAAGGATGCAAGTACAGCTTCTTATCAATCATTAATAAAATAATGTCTATTACTAGTCTTCTTTAGCAGTACCAAGCTGCTTGAGATTTATCATGACATTCCATTTGTCACAGAAAAGGAAAATAGTGTTAGAACCCCCAAAATATGGGTGATCCCAGTTCCTTGTCTAAAACTTTAGGTATACAGTCTTTACATGGAAAGGCCTCTCCTGACCCCAAAATGAGAGGGAAAGTGCAGGCTATCTGTGCAGTCAGCCTGCAGCAGCAGCTACTGCAATCTATTGGTTGCAGTAGTGTCCATAGACTACTGTGCCCCATCTGCACTGGGGATTTAGCTGGTGGGATCTTAACCCTTTGTGGACCCATTAGCCATACTCCTGCTTACTCACAACGCCTGGAATGTGTTCCAGCAGAGTGCGACATCACAGAGTATGCGGGGATGGGAAACAGAGTGAGAAATTCATCAGTACAGTGCATTATTGTGCCTCTATATGCGTTAGGAAGTGATAGAAAATAAGCTTATGATAAAGGTGACTTGAACGCTTTTAACATGCATGCTATTTCCCACTAGTTATTTCACTAAGATTTTATAGAGTCAAATACCCATTTATATATATCAGAATGAAACTAGCATATCTGAGAGCACAGCTAGGCTCATAGAGTATAAATGGTCTCAGCCAGTGATTAGGGAGGCATAAAGTCCTGTATTTTTTGAACAACAAAGTCAGCTGGGATACTGCTTTCTTTCAAAAGACCAACCAGCTCTTAAGGGAATAAAAATATTGAGAGAGATTGGATAGATTATTTTTGAGAAAATACATAAATCACCTAAAGTTAGAGGTTGCTATTATTGTCAGGGTTATTTTGTACTTAAGTCTCCTACTAAATCATCTTTAGGAATAGACCAAGCATGGAATATTTCAGCTCAAAGAGCTAAAAGACAAAGGATGATTTATTATGAAATTTGCATTAACTGCTGTGACTATAACAACGCTCCCTTGTTCTTTTTGGTGCCGTATATTAATCCCTTGTTTGAAAGATGCTATCTTTGCTTCAGCAATGGACTAACACCACAAACAAAGATTATTGCAACACCTTTGTTTGAGCCAGCAGCTAGAAAGGCTCATGATTCTTAACACTGGCCTTAATTAGCTATTTGAGCAGAAAAGCAGCCACAAATATGGTCCAACTGATATTCAAATACTGTATCTGTAATATGACTGCACATATCTGTGATGACTTGTTTCTCTACAAAGGCCACCATGCAAATAACTTTGATTTGCATCAGGTGAGCGTTGTTGCTTCTTGTTTCTTTTTTATATTCTTACTGAGAGTCACAAGTAGTGACTGGGCCATCTGTGATGGTCCAGAGAAGTAGCAGCCTTGATTGTGGACTGTAGCTGAGTTGAGAAGGGGCAAAGGTGGCTCATGTTACCAGTGTCTACTGTTTTTTTGGAGGGAGTTGAGGATTGGAGCAGTCCTTAATGTAAGCTACAGCAGCATACTAAGCCTGGGTCTACACTAAGGGGTTAGGTTGAATTTAGCTGAGTTAGGTTGATTTTAAAATGAATGCGCCTACACAACCAACCCCGTTCTGTCGACCTAAAGGGCTCTTAAAATCGACTTCTGTACTCTGCCCCGGCGAGGGGAGTCGCGCTAAAATTGACCGTGCTGGGTCGAATTTGGGGTGGTGCAGACACAATTCGACAGTATTGGCCTCTGGGAGCTATCCCAGAGTGCTCCAATGTGACTGCTCTGGACAGCACTTTGAACTCTGATGCACTAGCCAGGTACACAGGAAAAGCCCTGGGAAATTTTGAATTTCATTTCCTGTTTGGTCAGCGTGGCGAGCTCAGCAGTACAGGTGACCATGCAGTCCCCCCAGAATCGCAAACGAGCTCCAGCATGGACCGAAACGGAGACACTAGATTTGATTGCTGAATGGGGAGAAAAATCTTTGCAGGCCAAACTCCGATCAAAAAGAAGAAATGCTAATATATATACACATGCCAAAATCGCACAGCGCATGGTAGAGAGAGGCTACAACAGGGATACACAGCAGTGCCGCGTGAAAGTTAAGGAGCTCAGGCAAGCCTACCAAAAGACAAAGGAGGCAAATGGTCGCTCTGGGTCACAGCCCCATATATGCCACTTCTATGATCAGCTGCATAGCATTCTAGGGGGGGACCCTACCACTACCCCACCACTGTCCGTGGACACCTGCAAGGGGGGAGTCTCATGCAACACGGAGGAGGATTTTGTGGATGAGATAGAGGAGGAGAAGATTGTGCAGCAGGCAAGCAGTGAATCCTTTCTCCCCAGCAGCCAGGACCTTTTCATCACCCTGGAGCCAATACCCTCCCAAGGTGAGATCCCCGACCCTGAAGCCGGAGAAGGCACCTCTGGTGGGTGCACATTTGTAACTACAGTACAGGGTTTAAAAGCAATTGTGTTTAATGTTTGATTTGCCCTGAAGACTTGGGATACATTCGCGGCCAGTACAGCTACCGGAAAACTCTGTTAACGTGTCTGGGGATGGAGCGGGAATCCTCTGGGGACATCTCCATGAAGCTCCTGGAGGTACTCTACTTTGCAGAAGGTTTCTGCAGAGGGCTGCCTTATTTCATCCTTCATAGTAGGACACTTTACCACGCCAAGCCAGTAGCAAGTAGTCTGGAATCATTGCATTACAAAGCATGGCAGCGAATGGTCCTGGGTTTTGGTCGTATTAAAGCAACATTTGGTCTATATCTTTCTGTGTTAGCCTCAGGAGAGGATATAATTCATAGTCACCTGGTTGAAATAGGGGAATTTTTGTAAAGGAACAGTAAAAGGACCCTGTTCATGCTGGGCTGTTTGCGTTTGGCTAAAATGGATCATCCCAGAGAATAGTCACGCGGTGGGATGGGGTGAGGTGTGTGCTGCACATCCACCTGAAAGCCGCAGCCACTCCTTTTAAATGTGAAACCCAACCAGCATCGCTTGCTATGGGAAAGGAGGGCGCTGCAGTTTGAAACCATTCCCACATGTTATGAAAGGGTAAGAAGCCAACCCCACATTCCCTTTGGCTTACCATGGCTGCCTGGAAACTGAATTCTGTTGCCCAGCATGTGTGATGTGTCACCATACCGGCAGGCGCTCAATATAAAAGGCAAAATGCGACCTTGTACCTAAAGCACATGTGCTGTCTGCTGTGAATTGCTTGATTCACTGTGAAAAAGTCTCCCTTTTGTTCTCAGAAATGTATCATCTTAAATTTTACTCTCCCTTTTTATCCCCCCGCAGGGGCAAATGTTTCTATGCTCCCCCTATCATCTTCGTCCCTGAGGTTATAGCAGATTAGAAGGCAAAAAAACCACACTCATGCTGACATGTTTTCCGAGCTCATGGAGTCCTCCCGCACTGATAGGGCACAGCTTAACGCATGGAGGCATTCAGTGGCAGAGGTCAGGAAAGCATTAAGTGACCGCAATGAGCAGAGGCGATGCTGAGGCTAACGGGGGAGCAAACGGACATGATGAGGCATCTGGTAGAGCTGCAGGAAAGCCAACAAGAGCAGAGACCCCCTGCTGCATCCATTGTATAACCGCCTGCCCTCCTCTCCAAGTTCCATATCCTCCTCACCCAGACGCCCAAGAACGTG